GGGTGGGGGTGGGAGAGACTGTGCAGGGGAGGCAGGAGCGGGGCTCAGAAAGGGAGAGAAGAAGAGGGGCACAATATTGGCAGATTCCCCTGGAAAACCCCTCCTCTGACCGGAGGTCTGGCTCAGAGGGTTGGGAACATTTCCCTAAATTCAGCCCAGCCCACCTCCCCCACCCTGAGCATCTCTCCATCCGATCCCTGTTCTTTCTAGGGTAGGAGGAGAACAAGAGGGAAAGCGAGAGAGGAAGAGATGTAAACAAGAACCCACTTCCTCCTTTTCACATCTAATTATTGGGAAGTTGGGTGCCTTCCTCTTATTATCATTTTCCACCTAAATGTTATTAGAATTCGTTTGTAGGAAGGAAAATGTCCAGTGAGAAGCCTCAGTATCATCTCCTGCTTCTGGAAACCCTTGTCATCTATTGTTGCAGATGACACCCCTGGGTGATAAGGAGGAGGAGAAGGAACTAGCAAAGGAGGAAAGAGATCCAGCAAGGCTCAGTGCCCCACTGTCCCCTCCCCACCCCACCCCGTAGAGCTACCAGCTGGACATAGCCCGGTGTCCACTGTGAGGGCAGCCACTTTCCATGGATTCCATGAGATCCCCCAACGACCTTCACAGGAAAGGCTCAGAGACATTGAGTGACCTGCCTAAGTCCCCCAGCTAGGAAGTGACACAACTAGCATGGAACCTGAATCGGAGTCTTTGCTTGACTTCAAAGCCCAAGCTGACCCACTACACCCGGTACCTGAATTGACAGGCTCTCCAGACACCTGTTCTCTGGTGCAAGGGCTGCTCCCTGCACCCTCCCTCTACCACGACAGTGTTTGAGGCTGGGGCTGGGTACGAAGTCCCTGTTATAACCTATACCCTTACTCTGCCCTTAGTCCTGAAGGTAGACTCGGGCTCTGCTGCTTCCAGAAAGACTTATGTCTGAGGGCAAAGGCATGTATGTTTAGGAGGCAGATCAATAGTCTACCCAGACCCTGCCCCCAGAAGCTTCCTGGGCGGTAGGAAATAATCCCCTCCCCTGGCCACTCCACCACCAGGGACACAAGTCAGGTAGGGTAATAAATAGTACCAACCTGTAGCTCAGCAACCTCATACTTCCTCTTACACATTTTTCATCCATTCATCTACTTGGTCCTGATACCAATCCTCTGAAGACGGTCAGACCCTTCTGGTTCTACAGGTAAGGAAACAAGCCCAGAGAGCTTAGGTGGGGCCTGCAGGGTCAGAGGAAGAGCTAGACTCCAGGCTTGTGCCCAGCATTCTGTATCCCAACACGGGGGCACTCTCCAATCAGCCACCTGGCACTCCACGGGGCCCAGGCCCAGGAGAGTTACCTGGATTTTGTATTTTCTTTCCTCCTGACTCAGCACAGTGGGAGGAGATGGAGGACTGAGGGAGAGGTAACTCCAGAGGCCTTTGGGGGACGAGGGTCAGCAGAGGCCTGATGAAGATGCTGGAGTCCTAGGAAGGATGGGAGAAAACAAACAAACACACAAAAAACAGAGAAAAGCCAGCTGACTTCAGAATTGTCCCTGGAGCCTGTTTAGACTCAGAGCTAATGGGGGAAGGTGTCTTCTACCTGTTCAGGGCCCTGGAAAGAAAGGTACATTATAGATGTTCCCTAGGAGGCTTGGGAAGAACACCTCCCTCCTCCCCAAGGAAGGAGGTCCTGCCCAGTTGTCATGGTAGTGGCCACATTATGAGGTGGTTCTAGTGACAGGCCGTGGGGTTGGGGTGAGAGGGGACAGAGGTGGGTGGGCAGTGGGGACAGTGGCAGCCGCATCCCCTGCCTGGGGCATTCTGGCACCGCCACCATCATGGGCAGTGCTTACCACTGGGAGGCCCGGCGCAGACAGGCGGCTTTGGAAAAGAGTAGGGGGCTGAGGCAGCAACAGCAAGAGAAGGTGCATGAGAGGGTCAGGTTCATCAGGGTCCTTCCAGGGTTAGGACAGCGATGGGGAGGGAAGACAGACCCCTAGGAAGCTGTCATCATCCTGTGAATGTTGTTTTGCTGGGGATAGGAGGAAAGCAAGGTCCTTCGGCGTTCTCTTGGATAAACGTGTGTGTGTGTGTGTGTGTGTATGTGTGTGTGTGTGTATGTGTGTGTGGTGTGTGTGCGCATTGGCGTAACTCAGCTTTGCTGAGGCCTAGCGGGGAACTGAGGGAACTGGTGCCTGGGAGGTTTTAAAGCTGTGTTGTCCAATAGGATAGCCACCAGTCTGTGTACTATCGAGCCCTTGAAATGTGGCCAGTGAGGCTGAGGAACTGATTTTAAAATTTTATGCACATTGAATTCATTTAAATATCGAATTTTAAACACATACTCAGTTTACATATTGGAAAACTTTCTGTTTGGGACAACTTGGATATGTGAGTCTACTTTTTCAACTGGAAATTTAATGAAATCTAAATAGAAGTTTTCTTTTTGCTAAATGTCCTGTCCCAAATAAGATGTGCTAGTAAGTGTAAAATGCATGCTGGGTTTTAAAGACTTAGTACAAAAACAAAGACTAAAAATCTTAAATAATAAATGGCTAATATGCAAATCAACCAAACGGTGGAATGACTGGTCGCTATGATGCGCACTGACCACCAGGGGCCAGCCACTCAACGCAGAAGCCAGGTTTGTTGGCGAGCGCAGCTGCCGTGGCAGCACTAAGAATATCCGGGGAGCCGGCCTAAGCCTCAGTCGGACATCCCCCTAGGGCTCCCAGACTGCGAGAGGCCGCCTCCCTCCCCCCATTCACGAATCTCGTGCACTGGACCGCTAGTTATGTAATATTATCATATTGATTACATGTTTGGATGTAAATAAAATATATTATTAAAATTAGTTTTACCTGTTTTTTTCCTACTCTTTTTCTTTTTTTCCTTAATCTTCACCTGAGGATATATATATTTTTTTAATATATTTTATTGATTTTTTACAGAGAGGAAGGGAGAGGGACAGAGAGTTAGAAACATCGATGAGAGAGAAACATTGATCAGCTGCCTCCTGCACACTCCCCACTGGGGATATGCCCGCAACCCTGGCATATGCCCTTGACTGGAATCGAACGTGGGACCCTTGAGTCCACAGGCCAATGCTCTATCCACTGAGCCAAACCGGTCAGGGCCTGAGATATTTTTTCAATTGTTTTTTCAGGGAGAGTGGAAGAGAGGGAGCCAGGAGGAGAGAGAGGGAGAGAGAAACTGGTTGCCTCCTGCACACGCCCCAACCGCGGGCAGGAAGTGAACCCCCAACCCAGGTATATGCCCTTGACCAAGAATTAAACCCACAACCCTTTGGTGTGCTGATCGACGCTGTAACCACTGAACCACACCAGCCAGGGCTCTTCTTACTCTTTTTTTAAAAATATATTTTATTGATTTCAGAGAGAAAAGGAGAGGGAGAGAGATAGAAATATCAATGATGAGAGAGAATCATTGATTGGCTGCCTCCTGCACGCCTCCTATTGGGGATCAAGCCCGCAACCTGGGCACATGCCCTTGACCAGAATTAAACCTGGCACCCTTAACTTCAGTCCGCAGGCCGATCTATCCACTGAGCCAAACCGGCCAGGGCTCTTCTTACTCTTTATGTGGCTACTAGAAAGTTTAAAATGACACGCGGCACATTTTATATTTCTATTGGACAGCGCTGTTTCAAAGCATTGGCACAAAGCTATTCTTTATCCTCCTGTCCTGCAAACTTGTTTTTCAGTGCACAGCTCCCAAGCTAGCAGGTAGGTGCTCAGAGACTGATGTTTCCTGGGAGGGGCTGCGCCAAGGGCCATGTCACCGAGAAGCAGTGCTTGGTGCTGTGGCGGGTGAAGGAAATTAGCCCATGCTTTAGCCTCAGGCTCCAACTCCAGGGGACAGAGACCCTCGGGGCGCCTCTCCCTCTGGATTTGCTGTCTTGCTCCCTGTGGTATCTGGCAGATGGGTGCCCGGGTGGGAGGGAAGAGGCTGTCACTTGCCGGGGGCTTCTTGCCAGGAACTGAAGAAACCCCAAAAGGAGAAATACCAATCTGAGGAGCAAACCCAGTTATCTCAGGAGTCACATCAGGAGCCAGGGCCATCACAGGTACGATCGCCACCCCCTACACAGCCACAGCCGCCCCCGCCAAAGCCAGCGGAGCAGCCAGAGCCCCCGCCACCACCGCCACCGCCGCCACCGCCACCACCGCCACCACCGCCACCACCGCCACAGACACAGCCACAGCCACAGCCACCGCCACCGCCTCCGCCTCCGCCTCCGCCTCCACCGCCACCACCACCACCACAGACACAGCCACAGCCACAGCCACCGCCACCAACTCCACCGCCACCACCACCACAGACACAGCCACAGCCACAGCCTCCATCTCAACCACGGCAACAAAATGCCCAAGACCCTCTTACCCGGCTCAGTTCTAAGCACAAACTCCAGGATTCCCAAAAGCCTGGCCCCCAGCTTGACTCCATGGGGGCCCATCAAACTAAAGGACAACCCAGCTGCTTTAAGGATAAAGTCCAAGGAGGGCAGAAAATCCCTCTAGACCCCGGTAAGTGTGCGGCAGTCTCCCACCCCTGCCTGAGGGCCCAGAACCCACGTTTGTTACCCGCCGTCCCACCATGCGTGACCCGCCCCGGCACCGGGGTTTTTCCTTGGGGACACTCCCTCTGAGTGTGTTTGTGCCAACCTGGCACTGCCAGGGCGGCTTCCAACTTCTGCAGAGGCTGGCCAAGAAGTTGTCAGCCCTTCCTCCAGGGGAGGGGGACAGAGGCGGGTGAGGGTGGACAGAGGGTGGTCAGAGGGTGGGATGTGAGTTGCAGGCTTAGCCACAGATAATACGGAGCCCCGTGAGGCCTGGGACAGGGAGTCACCGTTCCTAGTTGAGAAATTCCGGGTGGGCTCAGTCTGTGCCCAGCCCCAGGTAGGGGCTGCCACCTGTCCCCGGTCACACAGTGAAGAGTCCGTCTCTGCCATGTTCTAGCCTCAGAAACTGTCAGATGAGTAACATGTGCTTTGTTTCATCAGGTTTCAGGAAACCAGACCAGCCCTACCTCACTACACGCACCTCGAAGCCACGCTTCACGGTAAGACAGGACGTGCAAGGCAGGCAGGTGTCTGAGTGTGCACTTGTGGGCATGTGAGCGTGGAGTCTGGAGCGCTTTCCTGGCAGGGGTGGGGGAGGGGCTGCAATTATTTCACTTCTAGATGGTCCATTCCCCCGTTCCCCACCCCCTAAAAATGTCTAAATAGTGGCTGTTGTTCAGCACTAAGCAGAAGTGGAGGGGTTGACAATCTATTTGGAGAGAGAAGACAGGTGCCAGAGAAGCAAAATAAGGGAGCTGTTTTTTGTTTTTTTTAAATGTATTCTTATTGATTTCAGAGAGGAAAGGAGAGGGAGAGATAGAAACATCAATTATGAGATAATTATTGATTGGCTGCCTCTTGCATGCCCCCCCCACTGGGCATGTGCCCAGACCGGGAATCAAACCAGTGACCTCCTGGTTTATAGGTTGGTGCTCAACCACTGAGCAATGCAGGCCAGGCAAGGGGGGCTGTTTAAGCGCTGGCTGGGGTAGAGGCAGCTGGAGCAGGAGGAAGCCAAGACCTGCAGTAACGCTGTTGGTCTCAGGATCACCACGCCCTACTAGTATGACTTATCCTCCAAGCCTTTGTTGCCCCTCCATAAATTAATGATAATACCAGCTCCTGCACAGAGGGTTCACGAGGACTGCATGTGGCAGTGACAAGAGAAGGCACCAGAAGCGCTTAGCTTAGAGACGGGCTCATTCCTAGTCCTTTTAGGATGAGGACTGGGCTGTTACATTTCACTCTGATTCCTTCGGCCTCAAAAGGGCTTAATGCTCTGAAACTAAGAAGCCCAGAAACTGCTAATTTACATGTTTTGTCTCCTGTCCCTCCTTCATTTCAGTCAATGGATTACATACAGCAGTGGTGATCCCCTGACAGACCCCAAGGCCCAACTGGCCATCAGTAAACAACAGATGAGCAACTCTACCTTCTCACCACCCAGCAATGTCTGCACTCCAAAGGCCATGCCCTTCTGGTCCATTCCAGAACAGGAGGCTAGCCCAGAATAAAATGACGTTTCCTGCAGACTTGAAACTGGTCAGCTCTGTGAGACTGAGGGGAAAGAGGCAGGAAGACCCAGGAGGGGGGGAACACCCATGAGGGGATGGAGAGGGTGAGAGAAGAAAGTGGAAAGCAATTGCATGCTTCTCTAGGCAAAGCCAGTGGGAGAACTGGCCTTATACTCCCAAGTCTCCAACTCCAGCCTTTTCTTTAAGGAAAAAAAAAAGGGTTTTTTGTGTGTTTTTTTCAGAGAGAGGAAGAGAGAAACATCAGTGAGAATCATGATAGACTGCTTCCTGTACGCCCCCTACTGGGGATTGAGCAGGCAACCTGGGCACGTGCCCTGACCGGGAATCAAACCGTGACCTCCTGGTTCACAGGTCAACGCTCAACCATGGAGCCACACTGGCCGGGCTGGCCCTTTTCTTTAGCAATGACAGTTCTGTTGGGGCTTCAGGTTTATGACTCTCACAGGAGCCATCACCCCTTCCTCCTAGCTGCTGCTTACTGAGATACAGCTGGGGAAGGAGGGACTGCCGCTCACCAAGCAGGCCTGGGGCAGCAGTAGGAAGAGGTGGCAGACAGGGAAGGACCGCCCCAGCCCAGTGTAATTCCTGGCCCACAGTGGGCACCAGCTGTTGAATGGTTGATGAGAAGCAGGAAGAGAGACAGAGCTCAGAGTGAAGGAGAGCTATAGCCTCAGGTACAGGACACCGGGCCCTGGAAGGGGAGGGGGATTAGCCTCTTCCTTCCTGGGTGTCAGCCTTTCCAAGGAGCAGAGACAGTCAAGAGGCCCCAAAGGCCCAGGAGTCCCCCTGACCACTTCCTAACGCTGACACCAGGGTCCTCCAGCCCGGCCCCCTTCCCCCAGGGACCAGTGAGGGGGATGCCTGGGTCTTGTTGTGGCCCACACAGCATCGCCTTTGGTCAGACTGACGGAGCCCCTCAGTGCAGTGTTTCTTGAGGGGAGCAGCTTGGGGGGGGCTTAGGGGGGACAAAGAATAGGACTAAAGTTGGAAGGGGCCTTAGAGATACACAGTGAGAAAGGGAGCGAGCCATCTCTCAGAAGCCAGAGGCAGGACATGGTGTCAGGGGCTCGGGGCCTGGGGAAGACACCTTGGCACTCCTGGGACATCAACACCAGGCTGAGATGGGGCATGTTCACCAGCTCCCTTCCCGCTCACAGGAGACTTCTTCTTTAAACATTAAGTATAGTTTATTGACTACAATATAAATTCTTTACATTTGGCAACCTACACAGAAGAAGCTCTAGCCTGGCCTTCCTGGACTCCCCCACTCTTGCCAGCACCACTTTGACCCGTTACCCAGACATGAAAATGTGGAGACAGCACAACCTCCTTCCTCCCTCTTGTTCCCCCAGCCCACCAGGCACCAGTCCCCCTCTCTACCCATCCTTCTTCAGGTTCAGCTTCCCCACCACCCAAGCTCATCTCTCTGCCCGCCTGATAAAAACCATAGTCACCTTTAGTGAGCAAACACCATTTCAGCTCACTAAAGAAAGAAACCGCCTCCACGTGGAGCCCAGTGGGACCTGGAGGACTTAGCTTCATCTGAGTGACAGCAAAGACCAGTCCCTACTGATGTGCTGTCTCTACCGTCAATGCCCAAAGGAAAGCAGAGGCCTCTGGGAGGGTGAGCCCTGGTGTGGCAGAGCCCAGCAGCTTGGCCTGCCTGTGTCTACTCGCCCAGGCTCAGGGTTATGGGCTCACCACCGGCCAGGAGCTCTCCTTCAATAAATAAACATCTGTTAAAATGACTCTGGCTTTGTCTGTCTCCCCCGCCCCCCACTGCCACCCCCAATGGGTGCCAGGTGCCTCCCTCCCCTCCCCTGCTACTTTAAGTTGCTCCTGCTCTGAAGAGAATAATAAACTGTTTCACGGGGGAGAAGCTGGAGCTGTCTTCCTAGAAACCAGGACAGTCTCTAACCAGGAAAGATGCAGAGCTTTGGCCAACCCAGCTGTCAGACGGGCAGGGGACAAGTTCCCAGGAGCAAAGTCGATCATCACCATCACTTTGTCACACAACCCAAACAGGGAGGCACAGGAGAGCATCTGTGTTCTGCAAAAGACCCTGGAGACCGCACTGCACGGCCCCCAAGTCGCTTTCCCATCACTAGGTGGAGAACCTGAAAAGATTCATGTCTTTAACGCTGGATACAACGCTTTCTCACATTCAGGCAGGAGGAAGGTCAGACCTGAGGAGCTGGGCAACTAGAACAGAAAGAGCAGGGGCCACTCTAGGGACTCTAACTCCAAAGAAACATCATGTCAGACTTTCCTCAGGCCAGACCCAGAGGGGGAACTGGTGGCAGCCCCCAGGAGAACCCGGCTTCCGTGCCTGTGGGAATTGGAGCGCTTCCTGTGTGTGGTGGGGTGGGAGGGTATGATAAAGCAGGGCTTTTCCTTTGGCCAAGTCACCACAGTCCGTCCTCGGGCCCCACGGAGTTGTGAGAGAGACAGACCAGGCTGGCAGGTGCCTAGAGTTTAGGGACAACAGACAGGTCACGGCAGGTGAGGGACCAGCAAGTGGGGCCCTGATGTGTTTTCCCGGCAGTCCACGTACTCATAGCTCTGGAAGACTTTCTGCTCTGAGTGGCTCAAGCAGATATAGGTCACGGTGCCCCTGGAGAGGAAGGAGGCTTTGTTGTTATGTCTGGGAGGAAGAGGAAAGCTCTGGCCATGGCCTGCTGTCTGGGGGTGGGGGGTTGGCTCCCTCAGATCCCACCCTCCCTTTTTTTTGTTCCCCACTCTGCTAAGGCATCTGAGGTTGCTGCCTCACCTGTGTTCCAGACAGCTCTGTGGCCGTCACACTAGAAGCTTAGGAGCAAGGTGGGACCTAGAGTAGGGGCTGGACCTGCTCTTCCCAAGAACTAACAGATTCATGGGGTCACCTTGGATCACTCTCCTCTCACAAGGTGAGGCTGAGGAGAGACTGGAGTCAGAAGTGGGAGAGGTCCAAGCCCTACTTACTGGATGTGCAAAAGCACATGGTGGACTTTGATTTTCAGCCAGCTGCAGATTTTGCTGAGAAAGAGAGAGAGGGAGAGAGAGACACATTGGATCATGTTTCACAGTGAGTGGCCATCAGAAGGCTTAAAGATCTGCAAGCCCCAGCCTTGTCACCTTCTAGGCCCCTTTCCCTCAGGGGCCCCGAATGTCCCTCCCCCCTCCCACACAGACTCCCTCTGACTAAGGAGTACGTCATCCCCGTTGCAACATCACTCCACCAATCCCAACTGGCTTGGCCCAGGCACATGCTGGCCCCTCCCTCCGCAGAAAATGACATTCATCCTCAGCAATTCAGGCTAAAGAGCCCCAGGTCACAGATTGTAAGGATGAACCAAATCCTAGCCTGTTCCTCATTCCAATCTAGTTCTAAACAGGAAGAGAGGCTGGGGACCCTGAACACTTCCTTGCACGTTGCAGCCTCAGCCATGAGTACAGGCCAAGGACTGGCTGCAGGGTTGTTGCTAAGCAATCAGAAAACCTGGTGGGGATTAAAACCAGGTTTCCAAACGGAACAGAGGCGGAGGGAGAAGAGATCCAGGGATACTCACTATGTGTTTTCATCCAAGATCCTGTTGGCTACTGCATAAAACATCTGTCAACCAAATGGCATAGGGTTAGCCCCAACTCCAGCCGTCACCCCCTTCCCACCACCTCACACATCCACACCGCTGTGGGCAGGGCTGGCCAGGGAGAGGGAGACACCTACCTGTTTACTGGCCAAAGGGCCGATGTGGAGGAGGAGGCTATTTGAGACCTGCCCCACCACGACGGACAGGTGCAGCACCTCAATGGTTAGCTGGGTCACAGTGATGGGGTAGTAGTTGCTATTGGAGATGTTCAAGATATTCTGGGGATGAAGACAAGGAAAGGGAGGGGTGAGTGTGGCCATCCTTGGAAAGGAGAAGTCAAACAGTTTCAAAACCCCCAGCCTGACTGAGCCCCACCCCGATATGGACCTCAGCTGCTGAGAACCAGTGTCAGGAGCCCCTGTTGGGGGCTCTTAATGGTGAGGAGTCACTTTAACTAAAACATTAAGCTGGCTCAGGATCTAGTCCCACCCTGCCCACCCAGGGAGCCTCAGGCACGCCACCCCCATTACACCCTGTGATTTATTTCTTGGGCCCTGATTCTGACCCTTCACTGTGGAGAGTCCCAGTCCTACACAATCTGGGGTTCAGGGTGGCCCCTGCTTCTCCCCAGGTTTCTAACACCCTCTGGGTGCCCAGGATCACACCACTGGGCAAGGGCTACAGAGGAGTATTGCTGGGAAGGTGTGGGTCAGAGCCCAGAGGCACAGGCACCCACCTACCGTTATGTTGATGTAGACAGTCTCGTCCAAGGCCACAGTGGAGGAGGAGTTGAGGCCTGCAGGCTGCGTGTCGATGGACCGGGGAAACAGGAAAAAGATGGTGAGGGAGGAGGTCACCAGGCAGATGAGCACTGCCAGGAACACGGAGAGCTCCCTGTGGGAAAGTAGGACCCAGGGGAGAGGAGTGGAGAAGTCTGAACCTCAAGGAAACTGAGGCGCTCCTCTCCATATGCAAGGCTCTCCTCTGCATCCTGCCCGCCCCCCCCAAGTAGCCCCTGGATGTGGAGGGCCAGCCTACACTCCAATATGGCACTGAGCAAGTAGGAGCACAGGACTAGGTGGCAGACAGCTTGGCTTCCATTACTAGCTCTCTGATCCAGTACCTCTGAGCAACCCTAAGCCTCAGTTTTCTTGCTTGTAAAATGGAGATAACTATACTTACCTCATAGAATTTTTTTTAAAATATATCTTTATTGATTTTAGAGAGGAAGGGAGAGGGATAGAGAGATAGAAACATCAATGATGTGAGAGAATCATTGATTGGCTGCCTCCTGCACGCCCCCCACTGGGGATCAAACCTGCAACCCAGGCATGTGCCCTTGGCCGGAATCGAACCTGGGACCCTTCAGTCCGCAGGCCGACGCTCCATCCACTGAGCCAAACCGGCTAGGGTCCTCATAGAATTTGATATACGCTAATGCGTGAAAAAGCACCAATCCCAGGCCCTGGCACATAGCTAAAGCCCCTATTACCACTGGGAAAAGCCAGTCCACATGAATTTTGAGAGTTCTGAATATTCAGAACAGGACATCATCTGTCATTTAATTTAAAATTGAGATGGGCATTAAAGCGATAGCACCTTGTAAGTGTCTCATGAGCGGCACTGTTAGATTTAGATTCTGGTGCAGTGGTGGGGAGGGCGGGGTGCTGGCTCCCCGACTGAAGCTGAGAACTGTGGGAGGGGACTGCGGGGATCCTGTCAAATAGATCCAGATGATCATCAGGGTCACGACACCCCCAACCCCGGCCTAGAGAAACTCAGGGTTGCCTCTAACGCTCTGAAGTGTCTCCGAACAGGGAGCAGCTGGCTTTCCATCTCTACTGGGAAGAGAACAGGCATGTCTGAGCTGCCACAGCAGGGGAAGCTCTTAGGAAAAATAACTTCCCCAAACCAACTGCAGCCAGGACCACCTCCCTCCCTCCTGGAAGGACTTGCAGAGTCAAGAGGTCCTCTGTTTTCAAAAGGGAGCCATGGCCCAGCCGGTGTGGCTCAGTAATTGAGCGTCAACCCATGAACCAGGAGGTCACCATTTGATTTCAGTCAGGGCGCGTGCCCAGATTGCGGGCTCGATCCCCAGTGTGGGGCATGCAGGAGGCAGCCAATCAATGATTCTCATCATCGATGTCTCTATCCTTCTCTCCCTCTCCCTTCCTCTGAAATAAAAACATTAAAAAAAAAGCAGTTGAAGAAAGAACAAAGCAAACACTAGATGAATTTGTCAAAATTGAATGTTAAAAAAAGGGGGGGGGGCATGTGACTTGGAGGCAGTGATGCTCAGAAGGACACCAGGTGGCTTTAGGTAGCTATGCCCTGGGTTTCTGGAAAATCCTCAGAAACGGGGCTAGTACATATGAGCCCAGTGAGGCTCAGGCGTTTGGGGGGAGAATCAATGGAGAAAAATCTGGGGGGAGGCAGAACGGGGTAGACAAAGAGGAACAGCCCCAAGGGCAACCGCCTGTGGGGCTGAGAGGTAGGAAGAGGAGCTTACGTGTGCCTGGGCTTCAGCCTCTGGTCCCCATAGGGGATGAGGGCCACCAGCTGCTTCTCCAGTTCTGTAGAGAAAGAAGTGAGAGGGAGGGCCAAGAGGTGTCCATGACGAATGTTTCCTGTGCCAGTCTGCCAGAAGCACCCCTCCACCCCCCAAAGCAATGTCAGCAGCATGCCACCTCGGCCCCTCAGCAGAACTGGGAGCACTGGGCTATGTTGCTGAAGTTGGTCATCGCTAGAATGAAAGTGAGATTTTCATAAACAGATGTGAAGAATCTCTGGCATTTCTTTCTTCAGAGCTTAGCTCCCAGGACAAGGGCCTCCAGGCCGGGGGTGGGTGACGGGGCAAGGGAGGCTGAGAGAGGCCGGGGACAGGAGGGGCCTTCGCTGGGCAGGAGAACGGGTGCTGGGGGTGGGGCTAGCTCAGCCGTGGCAAACTACGGCCTGCGGGCTGGATCTGCCCGTTTGAAATGAATAAACCTAAAAAAAAAAAAGACCGTACCCTTTTATGTAATGATGTTTACTTTGAATTTATATTAGTTCACACAAACACTCCATCCATGCTTTTGTTCCAGCCCTCCGGTCCAGTTTAAGAACCCATTGTGGCCCTCGAGTCAAAAAGTTTGCCCACCCCTGGGTTAGCATCTCCCTGGCCAGCCCTACACTGGGGGACCAAGAGCTGGGAGACCCAACCCCATTCAAGGATAGTCTCAGAGGCACCTGGCCATGGGCCAGCTGACAGCCAAGAGCTTTTCCTGGATTGCAGGCTATTTCCAGAGCCTTGAGCCACTCACCTCGAGGGATCTCCTTATTGCCCTGGCAGGTGGGACAAGTCACAAAGCTGGTATTAGCAGCCCTTTCACAAGGGGCACAGGAAGAAAAATACTCGCTGTTACCATGGCTGGCTGAATCACGGGGTAGGATCGACTTGTTTTCGTCCTCCTGAGAGCCCAGCTGGGAGAACGTCTCACCCATCGTGTAGGGGGCTTTTTCACTAATGAGAAAAGAACAAAGCTCGGTGCTAGCTTGTTCGCACTGATGCTGAATGTCAATTTGGTTTTAGGTTCTCAAGATTGGCCAGGAGTCCCACCACAATTTCAGCAAGTTCAAGCCTAAGCTAGCTAGGGAATGGAAAATGGAGCCGCTACACTGCACTCTCAGGTCAGAAATCTCAATGCATTTCCAACTTCTGTCATTATTGTAGGCGAGCTCAATCTGCCCACAAGAGGGAAAAGAGGAAGTTATTTCACTTATAGCAGCGGTTCTCAACCTGTGGGTTGCGACCCCTTTGGGGGTCGAACGACCCTTTCACAGGGGTCTCCTAAGACCATCGGAAAACACATATATAATTACATATTGTTTTTGTGATTAATCACTATGCTTTAATTATGTTCAATTTGTAGCAATGAAAATACATCCTGCCTATCAGATATTTACATGATGATTCATAACAGTAGCAAAATTACAGCGATGAAGTAGCAACGAAAATAATTTTATGGTTGGGGGTCACCAGAACATGAGGAACTGTATTAAAGGGTCGCGGCATTAGGAAGGTTGAGAACCACTGACTTAAAGGGACTTCCATAAGTGAACAGAAGATCACTATCTTTTCCTGGGAAAAGTTGCTGAGCAGGCATTCACTGCAGGGGAAGTAAGTTGGGTAGGGCAGGGGAGAGCAGTCATAGAGTCCCTTCTTCCTGTAAGGATTACTCTAAACACGATGACTCTCAAGAGGATTCCAGAGCACCTGGGCAGAAATGCCTGCGGTCTCCCAGCCCGGGGGTGGAAGGAAAGCTTCCATGCCTGGGCAGGTGCAGCCTTTAATAAGGCAGGGATTCTTTGCAATAAGAGAAAGGAGGCTAGACTGGTCACAGGTGGGGCTCAGACCCCTAACATAACCTGGAAGGGAGCATGAACGTCTTCCTCACTGCCTTCTGAGGTCTTTTCAGAGAGGGTGCCCGGGGCGGGTAGTGGCAACGTCAGCATCTGCCCTTCACTAGGAAAGGCCAAGGCTAACTCCAGGTTCTTGCCCCCACACTCAAGAGTGGTGGCAGAACGAGCGGGCAAGGTGAGCCGCACGGACCTTCCGGGGCCAAATAACGGGGGCCTCTCCTGGTTCAAACCGCAGATCCGGGCTCCTCTCAGCTGCAAGAAGAGATTTGGGATTGCGTCCGTGGGGAAGAGGGCCTGCAGGGCAGGGTCGTCCCGGAGCCACGGCTGGGGCCGGGTAGGCAACCGGGCCCCTTCAGCAGAGTCCTGGGGACCCAGTGCACCGCGTTGGAGAAGGTGGGGAGCGGCGGCCTGCCACCCCCAGAGCCAAGCTGCTCCCCGCCCTACTCCGGGGAGGGCCATTGGCCGGGGTGGGAGCAGACGGAGAGGCTGGGATTTCATTGAGAAGGTGTTTCACGTCCCACCGGACACCCGCAGAGGCGGGTGCCTGGCCCTTTCCTCCCAAAGAGAAAGAAGGGTCCCGTGAGCGCCTTACCCGCGGTTACTCGACAGAAACGGCTGCAAGCGGAATAGAAAGTGCGGGAGCCGGGGACCCGCCCCAGCTTTGACTCGGGGCCTCGGGAAGCCCCGCCCCCGCTCCTTCCGCCCGCTCCCCGCAGGGCCCGCCCCTCTGACCCAGCGGCCAGAGATGCTCGAGTCACTCAGGCCCCGGCGCTGCTTCCACAAGGACAGCCATCCAGGTAGGTTTTTCAAATTACCTTTATTTCACCATTTTCTCAGCAGTTATGTACAAGTACAATGGGGCGGACGACCGCACCCCAGGGCTCGACAGTACGACTCAGGATCAAGGCAGTCCCGCCCTACATCCACCCATTGATTACACGCACGCTGCCGCTCAGCCTCTACCCAGAAGCCGGATAAAAACGCTTCCAATAATGAACAGCCTGGCTGGCCTGCAGTCTGAACCCTGGCTTATTAATTAGCATTCGAGTTATACTGTAAATAAACATCATCATCATGTTAAAGTCATTCATTATAGCACCAACCAGGTTAAATACTATTTTACTATCCTTTCCCCTTTCGGGCTGGTGAGATTCCTTTTAAGTCATTTTCGTGACTATATCTTTTAGTGTTTTGTTTTTTTTTTTGTGTAACCTCTTTCTTCACCAACTGTACCCAAGACTTGTGAGAATAAACAAGCCACCTTTTCTGTCAGAGAACAGTTTAGACAGCCCCACATTGGGCTGCCTGACTGGCAGGCACCATGTTGGCCACGTGGCTTGCAGCTCCCCTGGGGCCGCATCTTGAACCCCCAAAGCCAACCCCTCCCTTTGAGTTAGCTAATTGTGAAAGACTGTGTGCCTGAGCGCCAGTCAAGAGGGGCAGGTCCCGAGGTCAGGGTTATAAAGCCAAGCAGACCACCTGCTCGTGGGCACGTGCTTCCAGACCAGGCGTGCACACCCTTCTGGTAGAAGTAAAGGTATTTGCCTTGCTGCCTGGCTCCCGAGTATGTTTTGGGTTCTACCAGGATTGGGGGCTCGCCTTATTTCTCACAGACGCTCTTCTGTAAACAAAGGGATGGCCTGCACCCACGGAAGCAAGCTCTTCTCCACTAATCCTGGGCCAAAAACGTTCACTGTTTGCCCCCATCCAAGTTTTGCAATACACCAGCCTCTCTTTTCTGTTCTAGACTCTAGGGCTCGGTACCCTTGAATAGATTTCAAACCTCCAGGAAGTCATCAGGATTTCCTATGCCTCACACATACTCATTTGCCCACCCTTGAACTTTGCCAAGATTAACACAGGAGCCTGCTTTTCACTTTTCCTATTTCTATCCCCCCACCCAACTACTGTAAATAAAATCTGCCCTGACATAGAAAAAAGGTAACTGTTAAATTTTCTTTCCCTGTAATAGAAGAGTTTTTTTCCTTCCTCTATAGCAGGGGTGGGGAATGTCTGGCCCTCGGGCCATATAAGGCCTGGGAAATCATTTGGTCTGGCCCTGCCAAGGCATTAGGAGTGAGTTGATTAAATGTTTGACCAAGTATAGCAGGCTAATTTTTAAGTTGATAATTTTGTATGACTCGAGAATGATGTTATAAATATCCAAATGGCCCTTGGCAGAAAAAAGGGTCCCCACCCCTGCTCTATAGGATTAGCAAAATATTTCACACTACCTAATTTTTTCTCTCTTAAATAAAAGAAAAATGTATGTAAAATTACAATAGACACTGCTGAAAAGAGGCTGGTGGTTTAATCAGCACACTCCCCTCTCCTTTCACTGAAGTGTAGAAACCCAGAAGGCAGATATTCTTAAGTTCATCAATGGGCTCTTTAAAAAACAACATGCCATTACTAAGTCTTGCAGGAAATAACTTTCTCTTTGAGAAAGGAAGAGTACATCTATCATGCTCTGGTATCAGTTATACACATAGCTAGCTGGATAGATAGAGAATATAGTATCTCTTGAAAACAACTTTCAGAGTTAACTTCTTTTCGTTCTCTCTCTTTTTTAAAAATATATTTTTATTCATTTCAGAGAGGAAGGGAGAGGGAGAGAAACATCAATGATTAGAATCATTGATTGGCTGCCTCTTGCATGCCCCCTACTGGGGCTCGAGCCCGAAACCTGGGCATGTGCCCTTGACTGGAATCAAAACTGGGACCCTTCAGTCTGTCGGCCGACACTCTTATTCATTGAGCCAAACCAGCTAGGGCTCAGGGTTAATTTCTTTTAAAAACTGACAATTAATAACATATAACCCCATACAAACATCTGCATTAACCAAGAAAAATACTCAACTTCAATACAAGCAAGAGAAAAATGGTATAAGAAGTTCAAGTTATACTCTCCAACGCACTAAAATGGAGAAAGGAGTTTTATCCAAATCAACTGAAAAGCTGTCTTTCTACTATTCATTCAATGTTTAAAGTGAAAATTTACGTCTGGTCTTTGATTTGCTCCAAAAAATAATGTAATACAGGTATTGTCTTGACAATTCAATCATGGGCTCTATACATACTCATCAGATTAAAAAATAAGCAAGGGCTTCTGCCCCACACCCCAATGACAATAAAGATCATCTCTGAGCAGCAGGCAAAGTTATTTAATACATGGTCACTTCTCAATAGCGGTGGCTGTACCAGTCGTTGTTGTTGACCTGAAGAAGTTCTGTCACAACCTGCAGGATGTTGTAATTGTGTTTCTTCAGCAGCCTCAGGTTCAGCTGCCTGTCACAGAATCCCATTTCAAAGAGATGGGCCATCAGGGCTGCTGTCTGATCTTCCGAAACTATTGGCTGTGTAGTCAAGAAAAGCAGAACATTTTCTGTATAATTTACATGTTATCTTGCAAGTCATATTAATCTTTCCAGATTTATTAAAAATATCAGGTAGGTAGATGCAAGGGTATGACACTCCTGTCCACCTGATCCTAATGGGTCATCTGAGAGGGTAATGGGGAAGGCCTCGTGCTGGATTAGGTATGGTTTGTCCTTAGAGCCAGGAGGAGATGCGTCAGAGGGGACTTTCAGGAGAAAGCATTCTTTGGCCAGATGAAGGAAAAGATGCAAACTCTGAAAGCCCTATGACAATAAAGGTACTTGTGAGGATGGGACAAGTATAAGCAAGAGATGAGAGTGTTACTGGAAGTCAGTATGGGAAATTTAGTCAGATGCAAAAGAGCTGCACAAAAAACTGCCTGGAAAATTATATCCTAGGTCCATGGTCGGCAAACAGCAGTTCGCGAGCCACATGCGGCTCTTTGGCCCCTTGAGTGTGGCTCTTCCACAAAATACCATGTGCGGGTGCGCACGTACAGTGCAATTGAAACTTTGTGGCCCATGTACAGAAGTCAGTATTTTGTGGAAGAGCCACGCTCAAGGGGCCAAAGAGTCGCATGTGGCTCGAGAGCCGCGGTTTGCCGACCACTGTCCTAGGTGGTATTTTAGGGCAGTGGTTCTCAACCTTGGCTGCACATTAGAATCACCTGGGAATCTTGTTAAAATCCAAATTTCTGGGCCTCATCCTCCGGAAATTCTATTTCATTGTTAGTAATGTTGTGGCCTCACCCCATAACAAAGAAACAGAATTTCCGGAGGATGAGGCCCAGAAATCAGGATTTTAAAAAGATTCCCAGGTGATTCTAACGTGCAGCCAAGGTTGAGAACCACTATTTTAGGGTTTTCTTTCTTTTTTTTTTTTTTTAAGAATAGAAGTGATCCAGGTAAGAGGGGGCTAACATTCATTTACTCCCTCTTTGGGCAAAATTCTATGGTGGACACAACCTTCTTAAATCCTCCTAACACTTGGAATACCCTGACCCTTACCATTTATTTACTGTGTTGAGTATCAATTCCCTTATTTATGAAAATGGAGGTATAGAATACATCCTATTTTGCAGCATTGAAAGGATTAAGGTGAGAAAGTATGTAGATGTGTTGAACGCATATTCTGCCGTTTCCCTCTACACCTATCCACTGTTCCCTTCATCCCTCTTCTTTCATTTCAGAATTATCCATCCTTTTTTGCCAAGTTAATCCTTCCACATGTACTTTGTATCTCATTAACTATCACTACCTCAGAAACCCTTTTCTATTATCCTCCTGCCGGAGTCTATTTATTGTCTTCACTAGCTGAGTATAGACAGAGACCCCCAACAGCTAGTAACCTTTGAAGCCCTAACAAAGGTCAGGGCTGTGCACCACCCAGTTAATCTAGAAACCACCCAGTTAATTTAGGTAATGGTAGCTGAAGCATCATCCCCACCTTAGTTCACTTAATTCCTTAGATACTTATGTAAATCCTTGTTGATTATTGTTGATTAGATATTCTGCCTGTTACTGGAACTTGCCTGCCTAAGGGTCATGCTATGACCTAGTCTGTGTGTCATTGAAACCTCCTTACCCTAGGGCTACCCCAGACCAAATAAAAGATTGGAGCGGCCTGAGCATCAGTGGAAGTCCTTCTGGACTTGCCCGCCTGGTCCCCCAATATTTCAAAATTATCTCGTGTCATTTTTCTCTCATTTGTGTGCGGCTCCTCTTTTCAGATCCCGAACCCTAATCCAAGCAGGACGTGGAAGGAAACACACACGACATCCTCCCTCATCTTGACTATTAATCTCCTTTGCTACTAGCTAGCCCATCTTTAAAAATGTTTCCCTCTGACTTAAGTATCCTAGTTTTTACTCTTGTTTTCCCTTGGTAATCCAGCTAGTTTGAAAGTGAGGCATTGCACGTCAACATCCTTTCCACCTGTTCACATTTCTCTGCCACATTTGAAGCTGCTGGCCAGGTCTTCCTCAAGCTCTAGCACAGAACTCCCTCATTTGCCTCCGAGTTCTGTTTTCTCTTTGAAGGGGCCCTCCTTCTTTCCATGATCTTTAAAGGCTGCTTCTTGCTTTCCTGTCTTCCTGGAAAATCTGATCCAATCACATGGCTCTTGCTACAACCTGTATACAAATGACTATCTCCAGGCCAAATCTCTCCCCTAAGTCAGGTGTACATTCTCAACTGCACTCTGGATAACTTACCTGGATGTGCCTCAAATTCAGCACTACCTAGACTGATCCAATTTTCTTCTCCTTTTGCTCAAATATATTCTTACTGCATATCCTTTTTTTTAAAAAATATATTTTATTAATTTTTACAGAGAGGAAGGGAGAGGGATAGAGAGTTAAAAACATCGATGAGAGAGAAACATCGATCAACTGCCTCCTGCACGCCCCCTATTGGGGATCAGCCTGCAACCCAGGTACATGCCCTTGACTGGTATCGAACCTGGGACCCTTCTTCGGTCCACGGCCGGTGCTCTAGTCACTGAACCAAACCAGTTACGGCTGCATATCCTCTCTTAATGAATGGTACTATTTATTGGCTAAGTCGGAAACTTTGGGTTTATCCATGACTTCTAGCCATTTAATCATAGTCTCTAAGTTCTGCCATTTCTCTTTATTGCTCTCCTACCCTTCTTTTCCACTTACATATGGATTCTCAAATGGTTTTCCCAGCTCCACTAGCCTCCACACCAGTGATCTTACTATGAACGAATCTGATCATGTTATAGACAAATCTGATCATGTTACAGACAAATCTGATCAGGTTAATGACTTCCCTGAAGCTCGTCAATGGCTCCGCCCCCTAGTGTTGAAATAAACTTCAAACCACGTAACACAGCATCGTGCTTGCATAGCAAAGGTCTTATTTTTCTCAGCCTAGATTCACCTCCCAGACTCATACTTCCAAGTCCTTTTACTGGTTACTCTCTGTCTACAATGCCCTTCCTATAGCTGTCTCTCCTGGCAAACACTTATTTTGTCCTTTAGAACTTAGTTCAGGCATCACTGACCAGGAAGCCATCCCTGGCTCCACCCAGGAGCCCACCCTAGGCTGAGGTGTTCCATCTGTCAAGAACATCGACGCAGTATCTGACAATCTCCAGTAAATGTCTGTTTACCTCACTTGTTTCCCACTGTCTATGGGCAGCACTGGGGTCTTATTCATCTGGTAGCACCAGCACTCGGCACTAGGATGAGCTCCCCACACATAGTTCCTCAAAAAACATTAGGTGTTTTTCCTTTCCTCCCTTAAGAAACTTGACCAAAGTCATACAGCTAGAAAGTGGTGGAATTCGGTGTTAACCAAAAGACTAAACCTAAAGCTTGCTTATGCTTCCTACAATGCCATGCTACTCTCCAACCCAGATGACATAGTTTTCATTGACGACTTGGGTTTGGTTCAGGAAAATAAATTATGCACTCACCTGTGCAGTGACTGGTGGTCCAGCAAACAAGGCCTTGTATGCAGAAGCAGCAACTGACAAAGCCCCCTTCACCAGTCCCCCGGCAATGCTGCTCCCATGGTGGTGGTGCCTGTGGGAGAAAGCTAAATTATCTCCCTAAAAAACACAAACCATTATCTTCCTACAAGATAATCTAAGTTCTAATCCTTAAAAGCAAATGAAATTTCCTTGAGAAAAAAAAGAAAAGTTGTAAAAAAAAGAGTAAGTTTTCCTATCAATTTTATAGCTATACATCTTGGTTTGATGTAGGGCCCAGCTCTACTGTTACACGGTATGGGCACTGCAGAAAACACACCACGCTGATTAGCATGGCAGCTTTCAGTCCCAGCTGAAAATTCATGTGGTCAAGGACATTGTGGGGTATTGGCAGTGACTGCTCAATCACCTCAGAGACACCTCCCAAAGGAAATGTGATTTTTTTCTGGACACTGTTGGGAGGAGCCCACCTTGACAATGCTGAGATGACTAGGAGCAGAGAGGCAGGTGTGTCTAGTTACTAAGATGCACAGTGGGCTTGACCTTCCTGCCTTCTCCTCTGGAACTAAGGGTGAGTTGTACTTGAGGACACTCCTTTCTGGTATGGAATGTGAACACTCTTAAACATCAATTTTAAACCTCTGTTCAGTGTTGCTCACGAGTTCTAGAAATAAGAACAAGGAGGAATGATGGCTCTCCTCTGCTCTGTGGACTGGCATATGCTCCGAGAAGGCTTGTTTAAGCAGAAGCAACACTAGGATATCCACCTGCTTCTGAATGCACAAGGTCCAGTTACCTTGAGTGGTCATAGCTCTTCTGTCTGCTGTTTACAAGTCCTGATGAGCCTCTGGGCTCTAAAAGCAAAAGAGCTATTGGTTAGATGCAGCATCCATACGTGCTTGGTGTTTCCTACCTCAGAGCAAGGATGTTATTGAGGCAGGTGGCAATCTGATCACAGTGTGTAAAGCCTTTTTTTCCTCTTTTAGTATTTGGGAAAATTTCCAGGTGGCTTAAGGGCTAAGAAGAAACTGTCCAGAATGCATTGCAAGGTGACTGTTTATTAAATCAGAAGAAGTGATTCTATAACCCTATCACACTGGTTTATTAGTTCTTAAGTACTTTTAGGTTTTGTTTTTTGAGGAAGAGTAGGAAGTGACCTTTGAGGGTCTACTCAGAACTTCAAGGTGCTATTTTCCTTATTTTGAAGATAAGGAAACAGACCTGCAGGTGTTATAAACCTGCCAAACCACGGAAAGGTCACACAGTGCGGAAACGTGGAGCTGGGGCTAGAACCTAGACTGGTTTGGCTCCAAAGCCTGTGTTCTTTCAAGTACAGCACAATGCCGACCTCTATGAGGTCTCATTTAATAAATATTAAGCTGGAGAATAGGAAAGGGAGTCACACAGAAAGAGTGAAAGGGCAAATTTCTAGAAACTGCCAAGAATCACAAAGACCGAGTGCCTATTTATACCTGGTTTCCACTAGAAAAGAACATAGAAAAAGAAATAGAGCTCAGACTGGTCATTACCTCCTCTGATCTGATCAGGGACTGAAGAAACTTCTGGTATGGTAACCGGCAAATCCACTCCTGGGGAGCCATGATGCTGTGCACAAGGAGGGCTCCTTCAGAAAGACACAACATGGAAAGTAAGTTGAAAAGGCACCTGTGGTAACGGTGGGGAAACAGTACACAAAGCACAGCAGTGCCAAATTCTCTACAGAAGCTTCACATTTCTGATCCAGATCACATGTCTGAATTTAGGGATCAGGTGAGAAGGGCTCATTCTCTTTCTGGTTTTCCTCTTCAGCCACAGTCAAGCTAGAAAGACTGGCTTCAGTTTAGTCACTTTCCCCTTTATCAGTGGTCGGCAAACTGTGGCTCTCGAGCCACATGCGGCTCTCTGGCCCCTTGAGTGTGGCCACGAAGTTTCAATCGCACTGTACGTACGCGCCCGCACGTATTTTGTGGAAGAGCCACACTCAAGGGGCCGCAGTTTGCCGACCGCTGCCCTATATCAACTGGTGCTGATAAAGGGAAATGGGAGAATGGTTTAAATTATAGTCCAGGCTCTACGTAGATATTTCCCATCCTATGAGACAGCAATGACACAGGTAGAACCCAGTAGAGAATTAAAATAACTTCTCTCTAGTAGTTTCATATTATACTCTTTCCTTAACAGATTAAAGTTCCTAATTATACTTTGTTGAGTTAATATGAGAATTACTTTCTGCTGCCTTTGCCATGAGTCAATAGAATAGGGAGAGAAGGTCCAGGGATGTTTGCGCTTAAAAACTGGCTCTCAATGATTAAAACATAAGTAGATGATGATACTCAGATATTTAAGGTTAACTAAAACAGGTATTTCTTTGAATCCAGAATCCACAAATACTGGGAAGTACAACTTTTATTCATCTAAATTCAGACTTTACTATGGGAAATAGTCTCTTCCCATGCTCATACACACACATACAAAACAGGTTTTGAGATCAAGTTGATTCCTCTCTCTTTATTCCACCTTTGAAGAGCAGCCCAGCTGAGGGGTGTGTGGGTGGTACCTGGGCAGCCGTGGTGGAGGGCCCACCACCTCTGGGGTGAGTGGCACTGTATCCAGAGTCTGTGAGGTCATGAGGATGTCATTGATGCTGTACCCCTGCGGCTGGGTCTCCCCTCCAGGGGGTGTTTCCCCAGCCTCGACTGGTTCCTGCCCAGCCTCAATCCCAGGCTCGCCTTCAGCCCCTCGCTCCAGGCCTGGCTGTGAGAGGGCAGAGCTGTACATGGAGTCCCCCAGGGGGCGGCTGGTGTCAAAGCATTCAGGCAGGATGATGATGTAGTCCTCTGAAGAAGCAGAGGACTGACTCTGAACTTCGTCTTTGAGTTCATCCTCCTCCTCCTCTTCTTCCTCCTCCACAATAGCCTCTTCCTCAGAGATATGGACCATCTCCTCTCTCTCATCTCCAAGTGGTCCTTCCTCAGGTGAGGCAAATTTCACTGAAGGATGAAAACAACCAATGTTTAGGCATAAGCTGAAAGCAGCCCCTGGAGCTACCCTTACCTGGTAAAGCCTTGTGGGTCATGAGCTGCAATTATAAAAGCCAGAGGAGAGGGATGACCCAGGGGAAGGGTTGTTGCTGGAATCATATCATGGCCATGTTCTAAGTCTGAAGCCTAAGCAAAGCTGAATAAAACTGAGGCTCACAAAAACAAGGTAGGCAGAAACATCCTCAGCTCTGTTTCTTCATATATTTTTTATTGATTTTTTACAAAGAGGAAGGGAGAGGGATAGAGAGTTAGAAACATCGATGAGAGGGAAACATCGATCAGCTGCCTCCTGCACACCTCCATCCCTTTTCCTTTTCATGTAATGTTTAATATACTGAGACGGGTCAAAGCAGAATTGAAATGCCAGTTTGCAGTGCTATAAAAAGAGAAAATGTTAAGTGGTGAGTGTTGTAGGACTATATGCCTACTTTCCTCCTCCTCTTTGCAGAGTAATGAGTAGTCATGGTAGAAAATTGGCAAAACATGGCTGAGAAAAAAAAGAGTACCTATAATCCTAGAGATAACTACTGAAAACTTTTTTTTTTAACTTTAGGGAGAGGGAGAGAGAAAAAAAAAACATTAATGTGAGAGTAAGACATCAATTGGTTGCCTCTTGCACACCCTTCACGAGGGATCAAGCCTGAAACCCAGGCATATGCCCTGACCGGGAATTGAACTGGCAACCTTTCTGTGCATGGAACAATGCCCAACCAACTGAGCCACACTGGCTAAGGCACTATATTGAACATTGTGATGTTAAGTTCTTCCAGATTTTTAAGTTATGCATTTATGCACAAGCGTGTGTGTGCAAGTATTTTAAACAAAAGTAAAACAAATAATACTTAAAGTTATAGGTTAAATTTCATTATAATAAACAAGAGATTTTCCCATATTATTTTGATGTACTAGAATTTGAATTTTAGATAGTTCTTGAAATACGCAGTACTGAAAACTAAAATCATTTCCCCTAAGAACAGGAACGAGACAGGGATGCCCACTTTCACCACTCTCGTTTGACATAGTACTGGAAGTACTAGCCATAGAGATCAGACAAGAAGAAATAAAAGGCATCCAAATTGGAAAAGATGAAATATGCAGTACTGGTTCTACCTATCTGATATCTAGAAATTTCTGTTATAGAGAAATTTATTATAGCAGAATTTAAACTGGAGAAACTTAGTTCGGTGCTCCTGCTTCTCCCCACTATTTCCTGGACTGCTGCCCTTAGAGAAAAGAGACAATTCAGCTGCCAAATGGGGGTTTCTGCTAGGGAGGTCTGTCAATTTACAGGAAAACTCCTCACTGCAGAATCCAGGCAGCACTAGCTGCTGTTCCTCTGTGGCATGCCTCTGTAATTCTGCCCTGGGAAAGTATAGAAATGAGTTATGGTGGCTGCTTTGCTCCTGAAGCTAATTAAAAAGGCCAGGTACAGTATGTAGAGTCTAAAGAAACAAACATGATCCGAATTCTAACAAAGATCACCTTGCCTCCATTCTCAGTGAAGAGCACTTGTACCTATTCAGGTCTGACAATCACAATTCAGACACCACCCTCCTGTGTGGGGGAATTCAGGACACTCACTGTGCAGAGACTTCTGTCTGCAAGGTGGGTTGTGATCTGGGGCAGCATCCAAGGTAAGGGATCGGATTACAGTCTCACACACGAACTGGGTCCCACTCAGGTCATCTTCTGCCTCCTCCACTGAAGTAATATTCTCAGCCCTCCTCTTTACCGATGCCGTGGAATCTGAAAGACACGAACCTTGTCTACACTTGGTTCTCAACCTTCTGGCCCTTTAAATACAGTTCCTCATGTTGTAACCCAACCATAAAATTATTTTCGTTGCTACTTCATAACTGTAATGTTGCTACTGTTATGAATCGTAATGTAAATATCTGATATGCAGGATGGTCTTAGGCGACCCCTGTGAAAGGGTTGTTCGACCGCCAAAGGGGTCGCGACCCACAGGTTGAGAACCGCTGGTTTAAAGTGTTAAGAACCTTTCTCCAGTCATGTACCCATGCTTGATACTACAGAAAGGAATGGATACTATTCCATGTCAACGTGAGGAGACTTAATATGAGATGCTACAGGAAAACCATTTAGAAGCTTAGGTAGGATTAGTTGGGAGAAAGGGGTATCTATAAAAACGGTGTGGTATGAAACGGGAGGATGGAAATACTTTACAAATATTTAACCCCTTACCAGAGAGAGCTTTTAGTCCTGCCCCTTCACTCTCTTCCTGTATCTGCCCCAAGCCTGGCTTCTCTATTAAAGGGCTGTCATGTGGCAGAGGAGACATGCAGGGAGTCATATCTGGAGAAGGAAGACAGGAGAACCATCAACCAAGAAAAAGCATCACATCATCAATAGTCAGTGTCCAGAAGCAGCAGCTCATTGGCTTCTTGCTTCCTACAGGGCTAATATAAACTCAGGCATGCTTCAAGACCTGTTGTAAAGATTTCTGCAGACTATTAGGTACGTAAGTGTCTCAGACAGATGAAACAATGCAGGGAGTATCATAAACAGTTGTCTGGTCCAGAAGGCAATGTGCAAGACAGAACCATGAATGTAAAGGAACAAAGGGACACAAACATCTAGAGAAAAATGGAGATGAGGGTCCCTTTATGGTGGGGAGGCTTTATACAAACTTGTACAGAGTTCACTTATTACCCGCTTTACCTAGCTTCCTTTATGCCTGTTAATAAAATAAGGTGGATTTTATGACAGTCTTACCTACAGGGGTGTTATGGGGCACTCTCTCCAACTCTTGGACAATGTTAATATCCAACAGCTCAAAGGACAGCAGATCCTGGGGAAAAAATAGGCAATGTTAGGCAGTACACACTGGAATAATGTTTTGTCTTCACAGGATTTGCAAGGCCATTGAGCTCCACATCATCCTAGATTAAACTCTGTTCAAATTCATGCCCCACCTCAGCCAAGTGCAAACAAGGAAGAAGAGTTAAATGGATACTAGATATTCAAATAACCAAATGGTAGAAAAGAGAGAAAATGCAGTGGGGGTGAAGGAGAACCAATATGAAGAGGCAACTAAAGGGAAGTTGTGGTAAAGCACAAGACTGAGTTCCCAATTCAAAAAGCAAGCATTTAGTTTAGAAACTCGCTTCTACAGATCTTGCCATTCAGTGCATCTGACTGAATCATGGTGGGCATATCTCTAACTTTCTGGGCACCATCTATGGCTATACCACCTTCTCTTCAACAAGTTAAGAACTCTTTCCCGTGCTTTCTGTCCCTTGCCCCTCAAAGTGCTCAATCTTCCACCTGGGCAGTTAAAAGGTCCACAGATGGGATGTAGAGCTCCCTCTCGCTGGCAACATTTTTTGTCTTCTGTGGGATGTAGGTTCCTGTCCCTTCTGTCTGTTCAGTTGCCCCAAGCTGAATTTCTTCTTTAGCCAGAAGAAAAGTTTCCTATAGAGAAAAACCATTGGGACAAATTTTAGGCCTTTCAACAGAACTCAGCAAGGCAAGCTGACGAACACCGCAGCACCTTATAGAAAAGTTGCAAAAATAGTACTGAGTTGACTTATTACCCCCTTTACCTAGCTTCCTATAATGACAACAACTTAGGTTAACCATAGTATCAACAGTCAAAACCAGGACATTAACATTGGGTAACTAAATTTCAACAGTTAACACTCTAAAAAAGTGCCCATCTAATACAGGGAAATTGCCTAAAAAAGTTGCACCAAGTAACAACTAGGGCAAGACTTCATTAGTATTTAGGGGACACACACAAGGGACACTCAGGAGAGATGAATGTTACGGAGCAAAGCCATCAGTCCAGCAGTTCCACAGGCCAGCCAGGCAGTCCTACTTTCCCTAGTGTAGCAAAGAGGCTGGCAATGCATCATTACGAAGACATACAGAAACACTGAGGAGCACCTGCACCAGATCCTAAGGATACACAAACAAAGCCCCCCTAGTACTAGGCCCAATATAAGCATATCCATGTTTTGGGGGGAAGGGGCAACTTTTCCAGATTTCTGAAAGAACAACCAGCTATGAGTGGGCTCTTTTAGCTGGTCACCTCTTCCAGTACTCACCTCTTGCTGGCAGGTGAGATCACCAGTTTTGCTTGAGTTAATCAGGCTCTTTTCAATGTTATCAGAGCTTTCTGTGGAGCAGAGAGGATCTACTATGATACTGCACCAGACCCGAGGTCCAAACTGCTGGCCTTTGTGAGAAAGCCGCCAGTGGGAAGTGTATGTTCCCTCCAAGGCTGGGGCAATGAACTCCACAGACACAATTCCCACATGGCCAGCCTTGAGGCAGGGGACCAAAACATCCTTCTTTTCTGTCGAAGCCATGGTTAGGTTTCCCCACATGAACTTGAGCTGAAATGAACAGTGGCAAGAGAAAGAAAGCAAGCTTGTTAGCTGAGCACTCTGTCACTTCAAATCACTTCATCTTCACATTTTTGTGGGAAAAATACCTTTGTATCTGTACTCCACTTGACATTTCCTGTATTTTTCATCCTCCAGTGTTTGATAAACTTGGTTCCTGGCTGAAGGTGAGTCCCATCAGGCAAATTCTCATCCACAAATGCTGCACTGAGGGTTGGCATAACTGGGGCACAGGGCTGCAAAGGGAGCCTGAACAGAAATTCAGATAGTCACCTGCTGTTGGATGTGATGGCTTCTGAATATCCAACACTGTAGTTTGAGGCTCTGACTCTTGAGGATGCACTAATGCATTTGCCTTATAAGTAATATTAATAACATTTTTTAACAAACAGAAGACAAATCTGACTCCTGAACTAAAAAGCTATGATGAGGATCTGTAAATAAACAACTGAAGAGTCAGACTTAAAATATTTGCTTCAAATCCAGACTGCCTCCAGTGAAAAGAGTTCTCACACACCAGTTCTAAACTTTACTGGTTTCTATCTTTCTGAAGAAGGCAACAAAGGAAGTGCCAAAAATAACTACCAAACCATCCTTTTTAAGAATGTGAGGATCAGAGAATGGGAAATTTACGAGTTTGGGTGTTAGGAGCTATGAATAAATATGAGAGATGTTGGCTGAAGTTCTAGTTTTAGAGGGCTGGACCTCAAGACTTGGCTCCCACTCTGGCCCCGGGCTTACATTAGGGTGTTAGACTGCAGTAAGCTCTCAGGTCGGCCCAAGGGACACTTGGGGCTCTGGAGTCCATGGATGGAATTCCACAGATGAATCTTCCTGCGGAGTTTAAGCTGCTTTTTAAGTTCCTTGACCTCTGCTTTACGCTGTTTCTTCTCAGCTCGCAACCTTTGCTTTTCTGCTTTAAGAAAATTCTTGTCAACCTGCTTCTGGAGCCTGTGAGACAACAAATGATAGTCTTAAAAACAAACCTCACAAATCTTGAAGCTACTTTGAGCTTCTTGTAGTCTCTATCAGTGCCAGCTTATAGTTTAGTTTCTTTCTTTAAAAATTAAATTTATTGGGATCATACTGGTTAATAAAATTAACCTCTTTCTGCAGTTCTCATTTCCATTTCATTAGCTTTGGATAATTGTCCCCATCATTGCACATCAACTAGAAATGAGCCAGAAATAAGTAGACTATTTGTAGTTTTGTGACTCACTACCTGTCACCAGAACCAGGAAGCCAGAGAACACACATCCCATGTATAAATGGTTTACCTGGCTTGTTCCAGAGCAGCAGGAAGACGAGGAGTAGAGAACCTTGAGTGAGAGAACGATTCAGAGGAACCCACAACAGGTCTCCGCAACTTCAGCAGGACATGGTTGGAGTCATGGACATAGGGCCCCGATTCACAATCTTCACAGATATTGTAGGATGGGCATAGGCTATGGGAGAAAAAAAGGCACAGTGGGAAATACATGAGGTAGGGAATTATGAGACCAAACTTCTGTATTTGCTCTATTACCAGCTAGGTAGTAACCTGAGCATGCTATCCAACCATGCTATGTACTAATTTTCCTCATTAATAAAATGAGGACAGAAACAATTGACCTATATCTATTTCAAAGGACAATCTATGGGAGGAAGCAAGAGATGAAAGTATTTAGAACAGGGAGATAATTTTTGGTGATCTAATTTTGTTTTGGGGAACATAATTTTGTCCTGCTCTGTTAATTCAAATGTGTATCTGAACACATCAATCTGAATAGTATTCAAATTGATATTTTTTTCTTGTGGGTGAAGAATAGCTTGCTTCCAACCAGAGCTGCTGTATCTAATGCTCGGAGATAGAGTACATCCAATTTCCCATTATTTACCCAGAATGCAGGAAGGCCTGCTTTCAGGTCTACTAATAGCTATCATTCCCAAGTCACTGCTTACCTGCACTGGTAGCGCACACCAAAGATCCTCCGTTGACAGCTGCTACAAGAAATATGCCAATTGAACTGGTTTTCTGGCAAAAACAGTGTTTCCTCTGAAATAGGCATTGAGACTTCTGAGGGACAGGAGCCCAAGGATGGGTTCTGGAGGACAAGCTTCTCATGTAATTTCTGTTCAAGTTTCTCAACAGTTTCTTTAACCACTTGTTCTCTGAACTATAACACAGAGCAGATGGGGGGAAACCCATCAGTTCTGATATTGGGAAAAGGCATGAAGACATTACATAGACCTCACCATCTCTAGTATAATATAAGAACATAATAAACAGCTAATATCTACTGAACAAATGAACAGAAACATAGCAAAAGGTCTATTCTCCTACAGTAAAATGGTTCAAAAAATAAAAATAAAAAACTTTTGATTAGTAAATTTCCAACTTCTTTCTGAAGCACAGAGATTTGTTCCTTTCCATTAGAACGAAATGCCCTCTTTTTCTGTTACATCACTGCAAAACTTGAGAGCTTTCTTTATTGGAACTGCTCTAGTTTGGAAATTATTAGCTACCAGAGGCGGCAGCCATCTGGGTTCAGCTTGCTATTTCTCCCACATTCCACACATTGCTGTTAAAACCCTAGTCACAGAGAACACTCACTGTCTCCAGGTAGCTTGTGAACCAGTCTGGGGGCCTGTCTTGAGGCTGGTCTGCGTCAGATGGAGCAAGTGGAAACTGCTGCAAGAAAACATAATCCAAGATCTTGGAGGTTACTTTTTATTTCTATTTAAAATAAATTTCCTGAAATGTATTATTTTGAGTTTTTTTGTCAAACAAAATATGTGGGTAAAAAAAAAAAAAAAGAGACAGTATGAAGAAGTATAAAAGGAAAACAAAGTGTGAGTCATCCCATTTGCCCCCCGCCCAGAAGTACCACTGTTACCAGTTTTAAAAAGTCAGACCGACATGGTTACCATAATTCCCACTCTTTCTGAAAAGCTCAAATCTTACACCAGAGAATGAAACATAAGGTTATAGAAACTGTACAGACAGGTCTACTCCCTTCATACCTGTGGTGCAGGTTCCTCTGGGGTCTTCATGTCTGATCCCAAGACTCTCATCAGTGAAGAATAATGTGCAAGTGGCTTTTTCCCTGTCCTCGAAACTGGCGGTTTTTCTGCTAGAACTGGGGGTGGAGCTTCATCAACGACACGGTAGCCTTCATGGACTTGCATCTGAAGTTGGTTTCCCTGCTTAACTGCCATCTGAGAGCATAGGTTATGAAATAAAAACATACTGTGTGATTCTCCTCTCCCAAAGGAAAATTCAAAGACACTCAAACAGAAGAGGTGTGGTGAGTTATGCTGGAAAATATTTGTTTAATGAAGTCAAATGACATACATGTCAGCCTGCTGTTTCTTTGTCAAGAATGTTAACTAGGAATGGTTTTGTTTTTAAAGACACAAAAGTAGGTTTTCAGTGCAGCACTTTATTAGCTGTTTTCATTAACTGGGTTACTACTTTTCTGTGTAATTGGTTTTTATGTAGGTCTTCATTTATGGATTTTCATCTCAACTTTTCAAAAAAGTCAATCCCAGACTACCAGAACCTGAGAGAAACTTAAAGTTATGCCCTATAGTTATTTATTTTCCCACTAAGAATAGTACTTTGGAAAGCATGTTTATGTGGTCACCTCTTTCTGAAGACCATCTTCTTAAAAATCCTATTTTGAAAACTACTTCAAAGAGCATTTGAGGTTCTAGGAAGGTACTCCAATGTCCCAGAGATTAAGAAGTCAAGTCCATGGGGTTTTAACTTCTCCCACTTGTCACTCAGTGACAAGCTATGTATTTTACACTTAAGACTTTTCAAGATTTCATTTTAATAAATCATTCCATGGTCAATAAGTTTGAAAGATATTTAAATCAGAGATCAGCAAACTTTTTAAAGGGCCACATAATAAGTATTTTAGGCTTACAGGCCAACTTACTGTCACAACTACTCAAATCTGTTATAGCACAAAAGCAGCCACAGACAATAGTGAATGGACATGGCTGTGTTCCAGCAAAACTTCATAAAAACATATAGCCAGCCCACTAGGTACAGTTTGCCAACTCCTATTTTAGACCATAAACAACAAGCTTTTAGTAAAATGTGTAGTAGAGCCTGTAGATAAAATTGCTCAAGGAAACATGTCTAAATATAAACATGGAATCTTAAGTATTAAATAGTATTATCATATACTAGAGGCCCAGTGCACGAAATTTGTGCACAGGTAAGGTCCCTAGGCCTGGCTGGCGATCAGGGCTGATCTGTGGGGCAACCGGCAGGGTGATGGGGGGGAGCCCACTGGCACCCACCTTGGCTGGCCTGGGGGCAGCTCCTGCGTTGAGTATCTGCCCCCTGGTGGTCAGTGCATGTCATAGCAAACCGTCATTCTGCCGTTCGGTCGATTTGCATATTAGGCTTTTATTACATAGGATATATATACATATATACACACATATGTATACAGTCTTGGCTTTTATAAAGTCTAGACTACTGAGGTCCAAGATTCCTGACTGACTAGGTAAACTAATAGTGACTGTGGGAAATGTATTAGTTTGTAAGATCTAAGAAGACTTTTCTAGTGAATAAACTACTATAGTTTCTGAGAATAGGGAAAGAGAAAAGCCAGGAAAACTTGGATAAGATTGAAGGGGATGGGAGGATAGCAGGCTGAAATAGCTGAAAAGTAGGAAATAGGAAGACCACATGAAATTGGGGCAGAGGGAAATTATGAAGCATGAAATATTAACAGAGATGGATATCTTAACTAAGAGAATCCAGGGAAAGGCTTGAAATCCAAAACCAAGAGACTAGCTGGTAAGATTTCTAAGTAAAAACCAAGAAAGACATCAGCTAAACTACTGAAACACTTGGCACTAGAACAGCAATTTTGACCAGAAACCAAAAAGGGCAAATCCAACTTTCAGTGAAAAAAATCTTGCCTTTCCCTCCCTAGACCAAAAGTGATTATGGAAATAACTTAGTCTTGGACTAGAAGTTCACAAAGAACAGTGAAACATTAAAGAAAAACCTTAACTAAGGTGGTAATGAAAGGACAGCTGGCACACCTTAAAGAAGTGACCTTGAGGAATGCTCTGATCCATCACTGACAGACAAGGGATTGTTTGTAAATGGATGCTTTCTACCTTAAATTCTCCCATATTATACTGCAACATTCTATAGGGAGATCAAAGTGAAGGAAGAAGATAAAATATATCAACCAGAAAGTACCATTCCAGAGAGTTCTTTGTATTTTTAAATGCTAGGATGGTGGCACCAAGACCAGCAATGAGATGGAATGATAACTGAAAAAAAAAACACCTTTATATTTGGGGCATCCTTTTGCTGAATGGTATGCCCATGCATCATAGTTTCCCTAAAAACAGGTTTTGCTCTATTTATATTCATTAGTTTCTCCCCATGGCCAACAGAATTCAGGTTCAAGTTTTATCAATAAACATTTAAAAATTATTTGAAAATAAGATGCATTGACCATTACCTTAAGTGCTTCTTCATATTCTCCTAAAAGGATAAAAAATACATATGGTGATATTTCTTCACCAGTCCAAAAGATTCTATTAAGTACAGCCAATCCTTACTTTTAAGAATTCTTAGCTTACAATCCTTACACATGAACAGCTACTATCTTTTTGCTGACAAACTCCTTTCTCATCACATTGCAAATAGAAGCTACTTGCAGGTTAGTTCTCCCCTTTAATCTCGTTACTGGAGCCTTCTAGTTACAAAACCTCCATCCAGATCCCTCACACTAGGCTTAATGGAACTCAGGACTCAAGGGAGTTCATGAAATACTATCATTTCAGCTGTTTAAAATAAGTTTTTGGGGGCTAGCCTGGGAACCTAGCCTTCAAACAAAACATTATTCCTGTAGCAAAATATACTCCAACTTCTGAACAATCATCTTACAAATAAGCTTCTAGAATACCACTTGTTTGTGAACTGACATTAACATATATACCAAGTCAGAGACAAATGTAATACCAGACCAAATTGTATGTGTTGGACTGGGAGGCAGTTCAGATTAGCATCTAAACATAAGAGACTCTCCCATTAAAGCTATCCTTAGGCTCTGTCCTGGCTGGGTGGCTCAGCTGATTGGAGCGTTGTCCCGTACGCCAAAAGGTTGTGGATAGATTCACGATCAGGGCACATGCCTAGGTTGAGGGTACAATCCCAGTCGAGGTGCATATGGGAAGCAACCAATTGATGTTTCTCTCTCTCTCTAAAAAATCAATAAAAAAACAACAACATATCCTCAGGTGAGGATTTTGTTTAAACAAGCTGTCCTTAGGTTCCAACCAAAGGCATCTTTAGATACAAAAAACTGCTATAAAATAAAAATATGCTGCCCTGGCTGGTTTGGCTCAGTGGATAGAGCATCGGCCTGCGGACTGAAGGGTCCCAGGTTCAGTTCCGGCCAAGGGCACATGCCTGGGTTGTGGGCTTGATCCCCTGTAGGGGATGTGCAGGAGGCAGCCGATCAATGATTCTCTCTCATCATTGATGTTTCTATCTCTCTCTCCCTCTCCCTTCCTCTCTGAAATCAATAAAAATAAAATTTAAAAATAAATAAATAAAAATAAAAATATGCTATGTAACTAATGTCCATGGATAAATGAGTACAATGTCAATTTACTGTATACCAAATTCTACTCTAAAATTAATATTGCAACAAGAATGAGTGTATATGGAAATGCATATGCCAATGAACAGATGAAGGCTTTTGACTTACCTTGACTGTTGATGGATACCTGTAAAAGAACAAAAAAGCAAAGGTGAATTATAAACCTCTCATCAATTGAGCAGTTTACTAGGACCAGCCTCACAGGATAGATGCAAAATCTCAAGTTAGGGGTTCAGCTTTTCTAGTACCATGAACTAGTTGTAATTAATAGTTAAGGAATTTTATTGCTTAACTACTTTATTCTTTATTTCAGGTACATTAAGAAGCAGCATAATATAATGGCTAGGAGCCTGGGCTCTGGAGCCAGAGGGTATGGAATGAACCTCTACTACTTCCCAGCTTATGTGCCTTTGGGTAAGTTTATTAATTAATCTCTCTAAGTCTCAGTTTCATGTAAATAGGAAAATGATGACAATGCAGTACCTAATATATAGTATTGCTTTTAGATTGACACATTGTAACCACTCAACAAAGGTTGGTCAGTATTATTATTATTATAAATGAAATGGCAACTTATGATATACTTAAATTTAAGATCAGGACATAGTTTTAAAAGTTATCTCTCATATTTTCTTCTTCAATGTTGCTTCCCCATTTCTCAACTCCATCTCAAATGCCATAAGTCAGCTTAGAACATGCAATTATCAAATACATATAAACCACTACACAAATGAGATAAACAGCATTCTGAATTCTTCAAGCCCCACATCAGTCTTGAAAAATAAAATCCCTACTCTGGATGCATAGCAATGGGTACCATAATATACTTTACCTCTTCATTTTCCTCATCCAGGTATTTTATCTGAATAGTGTTCAGATCAAATGAAACTTTTACCTGCAAATGAAATGTACACACTCTATGATCAAGATATCAAAAAGGTAGTTTGTAACAGAAACCTAGACCTTATAAAAGGATGGACATATTTCAGAACATAAACATTAAACATTTCCAATGGTTAAAAAAACACCATAAACAAAGTCAAAAGACAAACAATGGGCTGGGGAAAATATTTGCAACTCATAAAATAGACAAAGGGTTAACATCTGCAATACATGAAGAGCATTTGCAAAACTGATAATCGTAAGATTAACAATCCAGGTAAAAGTGGGCAAAAATGTACAGAAATGTCATAGGAAAAGAAGTCAAATATGCCTATAAAATACATGAAAACATGTTAAGCTTTAATGGTACTCAGAACAATGCAAATTACCCCTAGCTGGTTTGGCTCAGTGGATAGAGCGTCAGCCTGTGGACTGAAGGGTCCTGGGTTCGATTCGGTCAAGGGCACATGCCTGAGTGGCGGGCTTGATCCCCAGTAGGGGGTGGGGGTGTGCAGGACGCAGCTGATCAGTGATTCTCTCATCATTGATGTTTCTATCTCTCTTTCCCTCTCCCTTCCTCTCTGAAATTAATAGAAAATATATTTTTTTAAAAATAAAAAACAATGCAAATTAAAGCAATGAAATGTCTGTCACCCCAACAGAATGGCAAAAAAAAATTTAAAGCCATAATGTCCAATATTGTCAAAAATTAATTTAGTGCACTGTAATATATTCCTGTGCGGTGCTACAATTGTTTGGCAATATTCATTAAATAATTAAAATCACTTATCTTGTGACCCATTAGTCTCATTTTGGGACACTTTATCCTATAGATCAGTGTATAAGTTATATACTAAAAGCTAGCCCCTGTGGTTTATTTTACAGTGGTTAAAAAACACACAACATCCTTTGACCTTGAGGACATTATGTTAAGTGAAATAAGTCAGACAAAAAACAAATAATGTGTGATTTCACTTACATGTGGAATATTAAAAATAAACACACAAATGGACTCAGACACAGAAAACATATTGTGGTTTCCAGAGGCAGGGGGTGGAAGGTGGGTGAAATGGATGATGGTGGTCAAAAGGTACAAACTTACAGTTAAAAATGTTGTAACTATGTGTGGTGATGGGTATTAACTAGACTTGTTGTTATCCTATATAATAAAAGCCTAATATGCTAAGTGTCCGACTGCTTGTTTGACAGTTCCACCAGTTGCTATGATCCATACTGATCACCAGAGGGCAGATGTTCTGACCGGTAGGTTAGCTTGCTGCTGGGGTCCCACCAATCGGGATTGGGCGAGACGGGCCAGACACGACCTGGAGCCCTCCGACCTGGAGCCCTCCCACGGTCCCTCCCTGGCCCCGATCGTGCACTGGTGGGGTCCCTCGGCTGGCCTGCACCCTCTCCCAATCCAGGACCCCTCGGCACATGAATCCATGCACTGGGCCTCTAGTATATAAACACAGAATCATATTGTACACCTGAAACTAATATAAAATAAAACTAATACATTTCAATTAAAAAACCCCACACATAATCTTTCAATAAGGAATGGTTAAATTATAATAATACAATATAATGTGGACAATCTATACTTTTAAAAAAATGAGCTTGATTTCTTATCTAGTCACTAAAAACTATGTTTAAAATATACTTTTGGGGAAAAGAAAACAAACAAGCTGTGTACTATAATGTTTATAGTAAGATCCTAGTATGATATCTGTATGAACATGGCTGTTAATGTTGATTACCCCAGAGAGGTGGGAAGTGGATGGAGGGACGTTAACTTTTTCTTTATATATGTTTGGATTGTCTCACTTCTATTTATAATGGGCACATATTACACTTTTGTAATTTAACATTTACAATAAAGAAAAAAGGCAAGCTGTCAGCTCATTTAACTACTAGGAAAAAAAGATTAACTGTGTTTGATTTTCAGATTATTTGACAAAGATCCAACTTTCTGCCTAACCATCTGTCTGGGACAGTATAAAGAACTTATGTGCTGGAAGACAGGGGACTAGATCAGACCATAATTTGTGGTCTCTCCACCATTTATTTTCCTTTTTAGTTGCCATAACACATAACCAATTACGAGGTTTTTTACTAACCAGGTAAAAGTAGGTTTTTACCAAAGTGTTTGTTAGATAAACAGTTATACAGGAAGTAAAACATTCACTACTGCAAACCAAGCAAGAGTACAAAGGGCAAACCAAGAGGAGGAAAAGCATTAACAAACATATGTTATACCCTTAATGGTTCACAAACAACAGTAACATACTTGCTCTCACGAGAGAGAACATTCCTCTGGGGCCTGGTTAGGGTGGGGCCCGCACCAATTCATTCCTCAGACTGTTCCTAAAATTAATAGGTTTTCTAAGTCCTATCTCACTTAAAAAACAAACAAATAATTTTCCAAAAGGCTCAGAAATGGTAAATATGACAGACTTTGCAGCTATGAAACAACACTGCTAAAAATAGCTACCTCTGGAGGGGAAAATCTATGGTTAAAGGATAGAGAAATAAAATAAAATTAACGCTCACCATAGCTTCGACATCAGCCCAAGTTGTATTTTCTGGATCGGAAACCAGAAAGCTTTGAGTTTCATTTTTAAAACTCACATTTAGAGTAACCTGTGGTTCCATGCTGTGGTGCTAGAGTTGAGAGGAGAGAGCAAACATTAGAAAGAGTGTAAATCGCATAGACATATATTCAACCAATACTTTGAGGATTTAATATAGGCTCGGCTAGACTAGGAGGACACAGCAGTGAATGAGAAGACAATGTCTGCTCTTCTACTTACAACCTAGTGGATAGTTGAAAACAAATCTCAAGGTTAAATGTTTGCTGAGAAAATGTAAATTTTGGCCACATCCACATAAATCATCTAATAAAATCCTTTAGAATTTTCTGGAACTTCATGATTGGTTAATCCCTGGCTCATTTGGTTGAGCATGTCACCCGCTTGGACCAAAAGACTGTCGTTGGATTCCCAGTCAGGGCACATGCTGAGATTTCGGGTTCAGTTGGGGTGCTACCGAGGCAATGAAACAATGTTTCTCTTCCTCTCCCCTCTTCTCTCTCTAAAAATATCAGTAAAAACATATAATGATTGGTTAACTAAACAGATACCTATTATCTTCTAATATCAAGATAAGTAAATTGGATTAGGTCCCTACTGCCAGGGAATTTTTTAGTAGAGGCGGGTGCATGACATTCGTGTGGCGGGGTCCCTCAGCACAGCCTGCTGGCAGTCCAGGAGCCCTTGGAGAATGTCCGAGTGACGGGAAGGGGGGGTGGAAGGGAGAGGGGCGGGCCTAAGCCGCAGTGGGACATCCTTAGCTCTGCCCTGGAGGTGGGAGAGGCTCCACCAAGCTGTGCTTGCCAGCTGCAAACCGTCAGCCCAGGTTGTGGCTGAGCAGTGCTCTCCCTGTGGGAGCGCACTGACCACCAGGGGACAGCTCCTGTGTTGAGCGTCTGCCCCCTGGTGGTCAGTGCATGTCATAGCGACCAGTTGTTCCACCATTCCGTCGATTTGCATAGTACCCTTTTATTATATAGTATATTTTTATAACTTGAAAACAACATCCTACACTTTTCTTGGAAAAGAAGTTTTTTTCTAAATTGAGCAACCCAGGTTCTCTATTAGATCAATTTTAACAACTTAGAGGCCAAAACACTAGCCCCGTGGTTGGCAAACTGTGGCTTGCGAGCCACATGCGGCTCTTTGGCCCCTTGAGTGTGGCTCTTCCTAAGCCTTAGGAGTACCCTAATTAAGTTAATAATGTACCTACCTATATAGTTTAGGTTTAAAAAATTTGGCTCTCAAAAGAAATTTCAATAGTTGTACTGTTGATATTTGGCTCTGTTGACTAATGAGTTTGCCGACCACTGCACTAGCTAGGAAACTACACTGAGGTAGCATTCAACACTCTTCATTCAAGTTTGTCTGTTTTTTGTAGTCTCTTTTACAGAGAATTTCAAACATACATAAAAGTGGAGAGTAATGAACACTTCTAACAGTGATCAATTCCAGGTTGCCCTCACTTCAGCTATACTCCTACACATCCCCAAACCCCTCAATGTGGATTGACTATAGTCAACTAATGTTTTAAGCAAACTACAGCAATTTAATTTTACATTTGATTTTAGTCTAAAGGTCAATAAGTGATAGTAAACTAATTTTTTCAAAAAATTATGGGAAAATTTAAACCTATACAAAAAGAGCCCTAGCTGGTTTGGGTCAGTGGATAGAGCATTGGCCTGCAGACTAAAAGGTTCCAGGTTCGATCCCGGTCATGGGCACATGCCCAGGTTGCAGGCTCGATCCCTAGTAGGGGGCGGGCAGGAGGCAGCCGATCAATGATTCCATCACTGATGTTTCTATTTCTCTCCATCTCCCTCCCTCTCTGAAATCAATAAAAATATATTTTTGAAAAAAAAAAAAAAAGAGATTGCCCAGATGGTGTAGCTCAGTGGTTGAGCGTCCCCGACCCACGAACCAAGAGGTCACCAGTTCGATTTCCTGGTCAGGGCACAAGCCCGGTTGCAGACTCGATCTCCAGAAGGGGGCATGCAAGAGGCAGCAATCGATGGTCCCTTTCTCATCAATGTTTCTATCTTTTTATCCCTCTCCCTTCTCTCTCTCTAAAATCAGTAACACATATTATAAAGAAAAAGAAGAGATTAATATTTAATGAACCCTATGGGCTCAACAGCTATCTTCCATATTTAACATCAACTCAGGACTCATCTTTTTACAGCAATACCCTTTTCCTATTGGATTATTCCAACACTGACAGCCATCATTTCTTTAAAAAAAAATTTTTTTTTTTAAATTGATTTCAGAGGAAGGGAGAGGCAGAGAGACAAAAACATGAATGATGAAAGAGAATCATTGATCGGATGCCTCCTGCAAGCCCCTTACTGGGGACTGAGTCTGCAACCCGGGCATGTGCCAATGATCAGAAATGAACCCAGGACCTTTCAGTCCGCAGGCTGATGCTCTATCCACTGAGCCAAACCAGCTGGGGCCATCATTTCATCTATAAAATAATTATGTACCTCTAAAAGATAAGAATTTAAAAAACAACCATAATACTATTATCATGTCTAAGTTAACAATTCCTTAAAGGAATGTCTATTCTGATTGAGGATTAAAAAAACTTTTATATATTGATTGATTTTAGAGAGAGCATGGAAAGGGGAAAGAGAGAGGGAAGAGAGAGATTTGTTTTTTCATTTATTTATGCATATGCATTCATTGGCTGATTCTTATATGTGTCCTGACCTGGGTTTGAAGCCAAAACCTTGGGGTCAATGCTCTAACCAACAGAGCTACCCTGCTAAGGCCTGTTTTTACTTAAGGATTTTGTTTACTGATGAGTTGTTAGGTTGATGTGTTTTTATGACTTTATAAAAAAATAGTTTGTTTAAATCTAAATATAAACTGTAATGAAAAATGCCAGCTTTTAAACATATTCATTGATTTTTAATAAGCATCTACAAAGAGCCAGGTTCTGATCCAGGCACAGAAGATAGGAGATGAACAAGATTAAGCCCCAGAAGTTTACAGCATAAGGCTAAGGGAGCACAGGGGTTGAAAAGAATGGGTTCCAGGCACATTACTAGCCATGTAACTGTGAACAAGTTAACCACTGAGCTACAATTCCTTAATCTGTAAAATAGGTCTAATATCTCTGCTTTGACAACCTCACAATTTGGTTATCATAAGAACCAAATAAAAATGTGTGTGCAAGTTCTTTGAAAATGTTACTCAAATATAAAATTATGATAAACCAATCTTTAGAATCTAAAATAGTCCTGTTTTCCACAGTATAATGTACTGCCCTATCAAACAATACAAGGTCATTTAAAAGGACCTTGAAGGTTTGAGGATTAAGGATGTTTTTAAAATCCAAAAACAATTATCCCCCATTTAAAAAAATTCTCTGTCTCCACCTAGAGTCAAGTTCATCACCAAAATAATACCAGTTTCTAGCAACCCTGCTGACATCTAGTCATATGGAATGCAATTTGGGGGGGGAGGGGTTCTTAAAACTTGAAAAGAATTCCTGTCAACACCCCAGAATCTTGTGCAAAAAAAAATTTATGAAGTGAATGATTCAGTCTGCCAAAAGTGGGGGCATCTGAAACAGTCTGACTTTTCAACTTCGGAGAAACACACTTCCACACTTTTCAGAGTCCAGAGGACAACCAACCCCCTCCCCCCCTTCTCAAATTACACAATTGGAAATTGGTTTAGATACTTTGGAGCCTGTCCAGCCGGGCGGCTGATGAGAAAACAGGAAGTGGGGGAGGCTAGCTTAGCTGGATCACATCCAGGTCTTGGTAAAGAACTGCCTATTTCCGTTTGGCTTATACGTAAAAATTCTTTTAGCAAGAGCATTCATCTTGAACTGGTGGAGAACAGCAAAGCTATGGTTAGGCCCATCTGTCCTTGCAGTTTAAGCCAGTCACGTCAGGGAGCTGGGGCCTAGGCCTTCAACTTTCATTAACTGGCATCATTCTAACTTCATGCCACTGACTCACCTTGGCTTGGCACAAGTCAGCTTTTCCTCTATGTCGAATTTTTTTTTTTTTTCCAGGATACCAACAATCTCTTTAGTGAGACAGGCCTGGGAACCTGAGCTCTGATTACTGTCTCCACCAGAGGCTTGTACAGATATCCCGGACGTTAAAATGTGTGACCTGGAAAGCTGAGTGTCTGGACCTGGGAAGCTGGGTGTTGGATAAAATAAAGAAAAAAAAAACAACGGTACCTTTCTAATACCAGAGTTCCCTGCCCAAGGAGACTTATGAGGTCCTTAAAAAGAAGGGGATGGGGTTGAGGAGGCTCTGTGTTGCTTTGTTTTTTTCCTTGCAGACTTCATTTTAGTCTTCCCGTTATCCTTTCCTAGCATTCCGTGCCCCGAAACAGTGTCACCCGCGCCCGCCCCCCGCCCCCCGGACTCTCTCGTTTTCTTTACTTAGGGCCCTAGGCCCTCTTTGTGCCGGTGGGTCTCGGCCCTCCCGCAGCACAAGCCGGCCGCTCTCAGCCACAGCCCCTCCATCTCACCGGCGGCATCCGCCCCCTCGGTCCCTCGGAACACGAACGGCTCTCCCAATCCCATCACTGACAAGAACCGCAGCCCCCAGACTCGGAAAAAGTCGCCCCTCTTCTTGACAGGACGCCTCCCTTGAACTTCCCCAAGCCCCTCTCGGAGCGACGTGACCCCACCCCCAGGTCATCGCAGCGGCTTCCTTACCAGCTTCCCGCCCCCGGGGGGCGCCTGCCAGAGGCCAGCGCAGGGACCGTTCGCCGCCAGCTCTGCTGCTACCCCTGCGGGGTGAATCTAACATGGCGGAGAGAGACAGAGGCTAGTCCCCAGTTTCTGAGTTTCCGACTAGATGATTGGCTCTTACTGCTTGTCCCTCAAAGCTACCACCCTATGGATTGGTCGAGGACGCGTTTGCGGGGGCTGGGCCAGAGCTGCCCGAACGGCACAACAATAATAAACACTGGGGATGAGGGGCGGAACCTCGAGTGCGCAGCCGTGGGCTGGAACCGCAGTCCCCTTCCCAGGTAAACTCTGCGCCCACTGCGTTCCCTTAGGTCACTGACCTAGAGGACTACTTACTCGAGATGCGAGGGGCTGGATGGGAATTGTAGTCTTCCTAGGACTTGTAGGTTCTCCAGCTTATTCTCCTCTCTTAAGATGCGCAAACAGAACATTCCAATCCATATCTGTTGACGTGAGAAGTGTGCGAAGCTCTTTATGAACTGGGCCGCCCTGAGAATCTTGCCGCTTCCAGTGTCGGAAAGCTCCTCTCCATAGGACTACAGCTTCCAAGGAACACTGTGGCGAAGGTCTTTTGGTCCGCAATGCATGCTGGAAATCGTAGTTTTTTTGCCTACAATCCTTTTATTTACCTAAACTGGAGACTTCCATTGCGGCGGAAAGGGGGAGGTAGCGAGACCTCACCTTGCGAGTGTGTGGGCACTGTCTTGCGTTCAATTCGGGCCTCAGCGAGCCTGACCCCAGCACAGCAATCTCTGTGACGTAATAATAAGCCGTCTCTGGAAGCGTAGAGGTGAGAGGGCGGGCGCCTAATGGAAAACTCCGGGAGAATGCCTTCTCTTCCGTCTCTTCCTGATTACGTAACAGGGAACGAATGGCTGGCCAATTGGAAGCCCCCCTAAAGACTCTCGGCTCTTTCAGCTCCGCCCTTCCGCAAACGTGTTGCGATCTCGTATTCTGAGAGGCTCCCGCTCAGCCGCAGCGGCCGGTTTCCGTGGCAACGGAAAAGCGCGGGAATTACGGATAAATTGAATATGCGACTGCGCGGCTTAAGCTGCCTGAGCTCCCTCAACCCAGGACGGTCGCGGGGTGCTTTTCAGACAACTGGGTTCCTGGGCCGGGAAAGCCGAGACGCTTTGATCTGAGTAGAGGTGAGGGAACTTTGGGGGGCGGACCGGCTAGGAGCAGGCATGCAGAGAGTGGGGGAGGGAACTTCTGAAGGACAGCAAGGCGGGTGTTATCTGGCAGGGGCTAGCGGGAGCGTGGAACCCGGGACGCCTAAGAAGTTGCGTATGGCATAGTCGCGGGGAGGGGTGCACTTCGTGGGTCGCGGGGTGGGGGAGGCACCGAGAATAAGGAAGGGGTGTGTCCGAAGGGGAATCCAGATGATAGGAGCTGGAATGTGTTTTTTTTTTAAAATATATTTTATCGATTTTTTTACAGAGGAAGGGAGAGGAATAGAGAGTTAGAAACATCGATCAGCTGCCTCCTGCACATCTCCTACTGGGGATGTGCCCGCAACCCAGGTACATGCCCTTGACCGGAATGGAACCTGAGACCTTTCAGTCCGCAGGCCGACGCTCTGTCCACTGAGCCAAACCGGTTTCGGCTGGAATGTGTTTTGAGGGCGCCACTATAATGTGAAAGAGGAGTTGGTATAAGTGAGAAGGGGACCCTGATGAAGAATAGGGGCAGAAATGTGTCTGGGAAGAGGAGGAGACAGGATTTTGTGGGAGGGAGAGCCCTTACGAACTGTATCCAGATACGTTTCCGAGAAGAGACTAGAAAGTGCACGGGCAGTACTAATCCCAGAGGCTGCCGGCATTGGGGGTGCCCGAGGCTCCTGAGATGGGTGCAAGCCAGTGGAAGACACTGGGGAAGGACAGGGGTGGGGAGCCTTGGTTGGTGTTGGTTTTGTTTGTGTCGATTATGGTTTTATGCAAGAAAAAGAAAGCAGCCAGGATGATTGGAGAAATGTGAGGCTACCGCCACTCATCCAGTCACCCCACTGTGGCTTTCCCTTGCTTGGAGAAAGGAAGAGACCAAAGGGAAGTGGAAGGAAATGGTTGGAGGCTATATGTGAAAAAATAAAGTATTTAAAATGACCTGAATTACAATTAAAAACTTAGAATGTTAAAAAATAAAGCTTTTGTTATTAGTTTAATGATTGGCATAATTCTAAAGCACTCCCATCTTAAATTTCTCTTATTTAAAAACCAGAGGCCCGGTGGTGCACCGGTGGGGTCCCTAGCCTGGCCTGCGGGGATCAGGCGGAAACTGGCTCTCTGACATCCCTCGAGGGGTCCCGGATTGCGAGAGGGCACAAGCCAGGCCGAGGGGTCCCTCCATGCATGAATTCGTGCACAGGGCCTCTAGTATATAGACAGATGCGCATATAGACAAATAACCACATTTGTTTATGTGTTAAAGTTCATTGTAACAGGGAGAGATGGATTTATGTGCGGATCGAGTTGAAGAAGTACAAAATGTCCTTAATGCTATGCAGAAAATCTTAGAGTGTCCAATCTGGTAAGTCAACAGAATTTATTAACTTGAGATTTTTCCTTATATGATTATATCCTATGCAAATGAATAGAACTGACCTTACATAGTAAGGAGGAAAAAATTATAATGTCTGTTAAGATTAGGCTGTTAGCCTGGCTGTTGTGGCTCAGTGGTTGAGCATTGACCTATGAACCTGGAGGTCACGGTTAGATTCCCAGTCAGGGCACATGCCTGCATTGTGGGCTCGATCCCCAGTGTGGGGCGTGCAGGAGGCAGCTGAACAATGATTCTCTCTCACCATTGATGTTTCTATCTCTCTGCCTCTCCCTTCCTCTCTGAAATCAACACAGATACGTTTTAAAAATAAATAAATTGGAAAGCTGCACCTATTGCTCCTTGCCTTGAACAAAGGAGAGTAAATTTAAGTAAAATGTCTCTTGTGCTTCATGAAAGTTATTTATCATATTTGGACTCAAATAAGATTAAAGAAAATGCAAGTTGTGTTTTCAGAGAAATACAATATTTATAAGTAACCCTACTCTCCCTTGCCCTTCAACATTTCAGCCAAACAAAAACAAGAGCTAACTGAGATTTACAGCCTAATTTATGTAACATAAGAGCCAGAGAAGCAGGAAATGGCAATTGGGGGAAAATTGCTTTTGAAAAGTCATAAAACTCATAATTACGAAGAATGATTAAAAAGTCCTCAATAGTGTGGCATTTGGGTCCATTTATTTTATATTTCCACAGAACATTAAACCAGCAATTAAAAAACCTCAGATACATAAAAATTAAAGATGTAAGATGAGAAAGTTAATGCTAAATTTTCATTTTGGTCAGATACTGTATATTTTACAGCTGATACATTTTTTAAATCTGTTTTCTATTAGAAATACACAGGTTTTTAAACTAAAATTGTGCAGCCTAGTCATTGTTTAACTCATTTAAATGGAAAGTTCTAGGATGGGAAGCATATCTACTTCACTTTTTTTCTAACACTTTGCTGTTATGTCTCAATAGTTTCTGATTGTGCCTGGAAGCAGTGTTACTTATGGTAGCTGTAAAGTAGGTTTCTAGCTTTTTTTAGGTCTCGAGAGCTAAAATTCCTTCTTTTGGTCTCTAAGTCACTTTTGGCATTTATTTCTGATACTTGGTAGTTCTTTCTAACTTTTTACATATGACTATATAAAATTCTTGACTTTCTTTCTTTTTTTTTTTTAAATATATTTTATTGATTTTTTACAGAGAGGAAGGGAGAGAGATAGCCAGAAACATCGATGGGAGAGAAACATCGATCAGCTGCCTCCTGCACATCTCCCACTGGAGATGTGCCCGCAACCCAGGCACATGCCCCCGACCAGAACTGAACCCGGGACCCCTCAGTCCGCAGGCCGACGCTCCACCCACTGAGCCAAACCAGTTTCGGCAAAATTCTTGACTTTCAAAAGAGTTTTTAAAATGTGTATCCTGGTGGGTGGTTGTTATTTTTGGAACCTAATCTAGCTTCTTCTTCTAATCACATATCTGTTTTGGAACCTCAAAATGTAGGCATGTAGTTAGGCCTAAAGTATTGGCTGGTTTAAAAAGTGCTTTAATATTTGAGCACTTTTTTTTTAAACTCTCACCTGAGGATATTTTTTCATTAATTTTAGGAGGAAGGGGGAGGGAGAGAGAGAGAGAGAGAGAGAGAGAGAGAGAGAGAGAGACATCGAAACATCGATTGGTTGTTGTCAGAGCACAAAGCAGGAGCCCTGGTGCTCTGAGTGGCTTTGAGTCCATGTATTCTTCTAAATTCTTCCATTTGACTACGCCAGGGCTGGTTCTTCTTCAAACCCTTCCCACTGTGCTAACTGTTGGGAACTTAGTCCAAGTTCCTCCTTTATCCTCTGCTCACTAGTAACAGGTGTTGGGTCCGAGCCCCTCTGCCTGGGGCTGGACCTCCTAGGACGCCAGGTCTCAGTCGGAGAAGCCATGAGAGGTTGTGGGTAAATAAGAATGAGTCTTTATTGCGGAAGCCCATGGCCATATGGCCATCAGACAAGAACAGTTCTCACAGCAAAGTCCATACAGGCATGTAGCCGGACACCGGCTAGTGAACACAAATCTTTCCCATAAAGAAGCACCAGTTCTGTACCCACAGCTATTATCTGAGCAGCCACATGCTGCCTCCTAGACTCACCGCCTCACATCGTAGCAGTATCTGAGCTCTCCAACTCAGCAGCTTCTCCTGTCTCCTGCCCAGCGGCTCTCTCTAGCAGACTTCTTCACACACCTCACCCTGGCTGCTCTCTCTCCATACTCCAGCAGACTTCTTCTCACTCCCGCCTTAGCTGACTAGACTGGTCAGTAACCTACTTTTATAGTATTTCGATAAAGAAGGCTTCTTGCCAATAGTTACACCAATCATATCGGCTACTGAAGGGCACAGCGTACCGTGTGCCCTTACACCCACTCATGGTATTTTGGCCTGATTAGGATTCCCAGGCTCAGAATCCTTGAACATCCCATTTAGGCTCATGCCCAGAGCAGCCTTTGGCCATTCTGGTGTACTGATAACAAGACCTCTGTGCTCCCATTGGCCTTGACTATTCAGGGACCTGGCATGGTTCCCACTTTTGTCTTCTGTATGTGCCCTGCCTGGGGGTCAAACCCACAACTTAGGTATGTGCCCTGACCAGGAATCTAACCTACAACCTTTTTGGTGTATGAGATAACACTCAACCCCCCGAGCTACCCGGCCAGGCTCTAGATACTTTGATAGTAAACATTTACTATCATCAGGACCCAGAAGAGGGCATGTTAATTTTTGTCTTTTCATTCCTATTCCCTCTTCAAGCTTTTCCTTCAACATTTACTACCTTTTTCCATATTGGAGTTTTCATCCGTTCAAAGTTTGTTTAGAGTATGTTTGTATAGTTTGGCTTATAATTACTATACTGAAATATAATTATTTCAGAATTGAGTCAGTGGTGAGAAGGAAAGCCATCTGGTGTAGCTAAATCCACTTTCTTTTACTGAGAATGTTTTTGATATCTAGCTTAGCCGAGGAATAGTGATTTGGTAACAAATCAGAGTTCTTTTTTTTTCTTCAGGTTGTTGTTTTAAATCACATTCAGTCCCAATAATACTACTAACATTACACAAGTCATCTCAGGTTGGAAACATTTTCCCAAGTAGCTTTTAATTTTATTCTCACAATAGCCTGAAGAGACTGGTAGATTGGGTGACAGTTTCCTTACAGGAA